AATAAGTTTGATGGTAGTTTCAATTGTGGATTATTCCGTTGGTATTGAGGATTTTGAACAGGCAAATATGTTTTTTTTATTTTGATGACAACTACCAAATTTTTAAACTTCAAACTCCGAATTATTTATTTATTCATTTTTTTTCAACGAATTATTATTCGTTTTGTGGTAGAATTGAGTTGGAAATTTTTGTCTTTGAAAATTCGTAACGCGCCTGCGCAAAATTCCTCCAAAATTATTGGAACCTAATATGAATTTTATTTATTCACCCGGCAATATTGAAAATTGAAGAAGCCATGATGTGCATTATCGAAGGTGAGCCAATTCTGAAGAGAGTGAAGAAATCGTGTCTGACTCGTGACACTTCATCATTGAGTAAACGAGAGGGGAAAACCGTGAGGTTCAAGGATGATGATTTAACAAGGACGACTGAGAATTCCACAGTAACAACAGCATGTGGTAAAGTCTTCTCGATACAAATTCATCGATAAAAAATTCTCTTTGAGGAGAAGTCAGGAGGAAAAATAAATGGGAAAACGATTGAGAGGAGTGAAGGAATATTTTGAATATTTCAGGGGCTTCGCATGGACTGAATGCAGACAGTCGTGAGGTGATTGCGTTGGAATCGATGAGGAAGAGTCACGTTACTACCGTCAGAATAGGACCAGAGACTCAGGAAGGAACGATACAATTTCACAGAGAATTCTGTCAAAACTATGATACGAGTCTTTACAAATTACTTGTTAACCATTTCAACGTCAATGCGCATGGAAAGTTGTGGGATGAGGGATTGCACGCTGTCAGATATGTGAATGGTACGTAGAGATTGTAACAATAGGAGTAATCATCTCCATTTCCATCATCATGGCTCGTTTAATTAAACGAAGATATCGAGATTCTCGCTATGGTGTTCAATAGGAAAAGAAGAACTGAAAATTCATCGCAATTACTAAAGAACTACTAAAATATTTCGGGATATGCTAACAAGATATGTGGATTGAATTAAAAATTCGAATTAAAAATTAATCCAATTTAATTGTAAGGGACGTCTTACTTTATCTTTCTTACTTTTTTTACGTATATTTAGGAAATTGAAATCAGTCTCCAAATATATCGCATGTCTGCTCGCTTTTTTAAGAGAACTTTACTCAGCCATTTTTATTTTATAACTCTTCACATTTCTAAAACGAAATGACAGTTCAAAAAAAACCATTTTATATTGGACATTCAGTAATCGTTATCGGTGAATTTCTTCATTTTTATATTTTGATTGTTCAATTATTCAACGAAATTTCAGTATTCTTTTAAGATATTGGGGCGAATCGAAATCATTTAGAATGACATTTCCTATCCTCTATTATCGGACTTTGGCAAATGGTTGTAAAACCGATTTATATATTTAATCGCATTCTCCGGAAAAATCCAGTAGATTCAAAGTTCATCTCCCAGTGAAATTAATTAATCCAGCTCTGTATATATTTTAAGTAGTCAGTGGCAACTTTAATATTTTCCGTTATCGAATTTGAGAACAGAGAAATCGACTCACTGAATTCGATTAATCAATTCCAGGTAATGGAAACGTTCGTAATGTAATGATTGTAATGGATAGCTTTTAAATTATTATTCTATTTTTGAAATTTCGGATGTAGCATTTTCATCGCAATTGCAATTGCAATTGTCAATCAATTATTTTTCAACTCAACAAATTCCGTGAATCTAAGATTCCACTATTTTCTATCAAGTCTACTATTTCCCTCTGACGATTCACCGCTCACGTCTCTTCTAAAATTTAAATGAACTCAAAGTGCAAGTTAATGCCTGAGATTATCCCTCCGTCATTCGGCATCTGTACAAAACGAGTGCCGTGCGAGAGAGGGACTCGGTCATGCATAATTACAGTATCACAGCGTTGGTTTGAATACTTTGAATCGATTCTAGGCCCTCTCGATCCCCTTGTAGGGATTACGTTTGCGTCTATTCTTCTACGTGGAAGGTCCCGGGTAAAAAAAAATTGTAATCGGAATTTTTTTTCCAAATTTTCAAAAAATTTCTAGACAACTTTTCAGATATTTTTTTTCATAAACAAACAAAATCGGAAAACAAAACCATTTTAGTTTTGGGAAAGGTTTTGAAACATTTTTCAAGAATTTTAATAGGAGAAATTGTTTTTATAATTTCGATGGCGTATTTTTTGAGAATATTAAAAAATCAAAAAAGTAAGGGAACAACAGTATCATAAAAAAAAAAATTATATTCGCAAAATTTTTTAGAAAATTATAAAAAAAAATTTCCAAAATAAAATGTTAAAAAAAAAAATTTCTGAAAAGTTTTCCAGAAATTTTTTTGAAAATTTGGAAAAAATATTTTGATTACAATTTTTTTTTACCTGGGGTATAAATGTTAACAATTTTTCGGCTTTATTCCGAGGAGCTGAGTCCCGGAAATCCTCACCGCGTGCAACATCCGTTGGAATTCCCGGAAATCTCTCAGAAAAGCGACAATGTAAATTGTAATTAAAACAATTTCCAGTTTCTGTGGGCCTGTGCTTTAAAAAAAATGCAATTTTTTGTGTCCACGTAGCAATTACCCACTTGTTTTACTTGAATATTTGAAAAAAAAAAATTACACGCACTCCCACTTTGGGCGCGTCTCCATCGTCATGGGCCAGAAGAGCCGTGCCCATTTGATTCCGCTGTTATTATTCCTAGGGGCCATGTACATTACATTATGTAACAAATAAAACGAATTGACTTCCGCTCCCTGCGCCCTATCGAATGACAGTTTATCGCTCCTTTTTGAGAGCTCAACCGTGCGCTCGAGAGAATTTTTTTTCCAATTGTAACACAAGGACAAAAATTGCCATTTTTGCAATAAACACGCAGAGATGAATGTTCCGCGAAATTTGCGTAATTCTGACGAAATTCGGGAACAATTGATTTTTTCTCTCTTGACGTTAATTACGGACTTTGGGTTTTCCGTATAAAATTAAAGTTTGCCCAGATCTGTGGAAAAAATCATAACTCTGAAACTTGAGGAGCCGTTAATTATCTTTGACTTCGCCCTAATTAATTACAAGTCCATCACAGTCAGCCCCTGGGAATTTCCAATTCCCTTTGAGGCTAGCCCTCTCCACCCATCGCTTCCCAACATATTACTTAAAAACCCATTTCCCTCCGCATCGAAGATCCTCACACCTCAATTCACCTAAGTACCTCAGAAGGGGCAATTCCCTCTCGACTATTACACAACATTTATTGCTTATTTATCTAATTTTTAATTACTACAAACAACTGGTTTTATTTATCGCATGTTTAATTACAATTTCCCTCATCATTGGAAAATTATACTTGAAAGATCGATTCCAATTTTAATGAAGGGTCACATAATTAAAAAATCAAGTGAAATTGTGACTGGAGTTTAATCCAATTTCTAATAGTTTGTGTAATATTTTGAAATTTAACAATATAGTGCTACGTGAGGTACATCCCATTGATTTCTCAAGTCACTTGCCGTCTCTCCGAGGGAGGGAATAACCTCAGAGACGGGTGTAGCCCACAGAGGAAATTATCCCAAACCCTTACCTCGGAGTCTCGAGTCTCGAGCCGAGAAACCTAATTAAGTAGTCTACAGTCCTCAACTGCACACACACCCTCTCTCTTTTCCTCTTTCCCTCTCTTGGATAGCTATTTTCCTAGCCTCTGTAGTGGAAAAGAGAGGACAGGAAATAGGTGGCAATGAAGCTGGTGCTCGCCAGGTCCGACTGTTCCCTCCTCATTCCTAATGAAGACAATCCACTTGTAATTCAATCAAAAGTTGAAACTCTTACCTCTCACACTCCTCCGGCAAATTTTATACCACTGGGACCGCGAGATGACGGACAACCGCGGAATACGGAAAATTGTGTCAACACGTAATTTGTCGGATGAACTGTCGCTCTGAATATTTTTATCAACCACTCAACTACTCCGCTATTCCGTAATTATACCGTACGAGATCATCCGCGTGCGATTTCCCAATTTTCGCCATTTTTACCGCCAATCTTCGTCATTTTCCCCCCCAATTTTCCATTTTAACTGAGAATTTTCTCAATAAAATCTTCAGCATAATTTCCCATCCATAAAAAATGGCGCGTTCCCCCGAAAAATTTCCATTTTCCCTACAATTTCATTCTCATTCGAGACACCTAATCAGTGTTCGTGTACTGGCAGCAAATCCCCCGATGAAAAAAAAAATGGGGGGGGGGGGGGGTGCGGACAGTGCATCGAAGTGCCCTATAGAAAACGAGGGAATGAACGAGAGAAGAGAGGGACCCCTCACATTGTCCTGGATGCGGAAGGAAGTCCGTCTCGGAAGTGGAGCACGAGCCCGTGGCGTCACTCACCCCCCCCCCCCTTTCCCCCCTCTTATCCACCCATTTTCCCCTCCGATGTGAACAAGTGAACAAGTACCCACTGCTATAGTTATTCGAACGTTGTACAACCGTACACTAGCATTGATACCATGTCAGACAAGTTATCCACCCACTCCACCCCTTTTCCTCCCCTTTTCCTCCCTCCACCCTCCAACCTCTCCTCACCGTCATCACTCTCTCTCCTTTTTCCTCTTCTCTTTTCACAGTCTGGCATTTTATTTATTGTCCATTCGTCGCTTTTGTGTGCAAAACGTTTGTCAGATAGTGGAAGGGGGAGAGGCTCGCGGTGGGAGGATGAGGGGGAAAAGGGGGGGTATCATTTTATATAAAAAAAAAAAACATACGAATACCTTTGATAGAAAAGCCACTCGGCAATTTGACGCGTGAATACACTTGCTCTAGGTGCGTTCGTTTATTTATTTTATTTAGTTATGATTTGTTTTTATTTATTTAAGGTTGCTTTTGGGGAGGGAGGGGTTCATTGGGAGTGTGGGATTCGACACGTGGGAGCCAATTCTGCTCAATGCTGTGGCTATGGGTGGATATGAGATAGGAAATTAGAGGAGGGAGTGGATTGATGTGGTGGTGTGGACGAGTGAGTTTTAGCATTTGACAGAGTAGAGTCGGAGGATAACGCTCGGGGTGACGAGTTCAGTGATGTGAGGTAGTTTTATTTATTCTTCAAGTAAAATGTGTCTTGAAGTTTTTCTCTTTGGTATGAATGTAATGCAAACTGCATTGCAATTAAAACAAAAATAAACTCAGAACACATAAAAATTAGAGTCAACCAAGTTTTGACGTCAGGTGTAAAATGTTTCTTGTGCAGAGTGAAATATTCTCGTTTGAAGTAAAAACTTTTGCCAACATCGGTGGTTGAGGAGAAATTATTATTAATGATTAAGGACAATATGCGTGGAGCGAGGGATTTTTTTAGTGCGTTTAATCTTCCTGAGATCAATTTTTAATGAGGGGAAAAAAGGATTTTACGTTTTTGGTGCAGTCTCGAGTGGCTCAAGCATCTCTCGGGGAGTACTTTAACGTTAAATGCTACAACGTGACAATAAATCCGTCATCGTGCTCAAGTAGACGTACATCCGTGACTAAGAACACAGCATTTATGCTACCCTGGACTGAATTATTTGGGGATAAAAGACGCCCTTGTGACCCTCGTCTCGTTCATACAGTCTTTTACTACTTGACGACACTCTCATCCCTTTCACAGATTCACCAATTTTTTTTTTTCCTCGCACACTCTCTTTCTCACTTGAAAGTTTATGTCTGTACTGCACTCAGATCTACTCCAGTTTGTTGCGACGCGTTGAATAACGGATAAGTGATTTACGAATGGATTCAGCATCGGAGGGAACTGTTAACTGTTTCATTCGAATGAGTTGAACGGAAAATATCGCGTTTCACAGGGGAGAGATGTAATGAATGACTCAATTGTTCGGGATTTAATGGAAAGATCCCGGAGAAAATTGAAAACACGTGTTTTTCATTATTATTCCGCAGGGTGGGAGAACCCAGGAGCGACGACCCGACAAAACTCATAAATTACAGCATTTCATAAATTATGAACTATCCGAAAAAAAAAAAATTCCCTCAATTCGCAGAGGTAGACGCATTGAATATAATTCAATAACCCATTGTCCCCAAAATAAAAAAATTCCAGTTCTATTCATTAAAAAATCACTGCTCAATGAATTCGACAAATTCCCAATAAAAAATCGATCGATTCACGTCGGTAAAGTTTCCATTTTTCCCTGCCAAATGAATAATGATTATTTAATTGCAGATGACACGAGACACGAGCGAGACATCCCGACCCAAAACGGCAATCTAACTCCGCGAAACGAGACACCACGTGAGAGAGTGAACGCAACACTTAAAAAGAGTGAGTAAAAAATAAATTCTAAATGTAACTAACAACTCGTTGTTTACAGGGGGAGGAAAAAAAGCCACAGTTTTGCATGGGAAAATACTCCCCTGTTGATACACTGTCTGTTTTAAAATACTCCCCCTCTTCCCCCTGTCTATTTATTTTTTGTTACCCCATCCGGAACCTTTGTGGTAATTAGCAGTCGATAGTTTCACGCGACGGGGGTAAAATTGATTGCGCTTAAAGCGACGGGTCTCGTTGGCTCCGAGAGATTTATCGGTGTGTTCAGTTGCTCGTGAAATTCATTTTCTTCCTCCCATCCCTCCTCGTTTTTTATTTTTTTTTTTTTTGGAGCGATTCACTCAGACTCCATTTTCCGGAGTGATTTTTATTTTCGATAATTGGTGAATATGAGGAAAAAATTTCGCTGAATAATCCGCGGGTGGTGGGCCTCTGGTTGAAAAAAGGACTTGTCTCTTTGAAATTCCATTTTGCAATATAAATAATGAAAGGGTGGAGGGACTCGAGGCATTTGCCAATGGTAATTAATACAGTCGCTGGAAACAATTCAAGACTGAAATGTTTATGCAATGAAGTTTATTAATTAGGTCATTTTTCTGGTATTAAATCTTTCGCGGAGGCAATTATCACTTGAGTAATTCAATAAATACGGCATCACTTTTTCAGTTCCTATCTCTCATGAAGTTATTCACTTCTATTGATTTATTACAACACAAAGGGAATTATTCAGGGGAATTAATTGGGTAAAGAGAAGTTTTTCAGAAGCAAATTTACACTGATTATTTTTGTCGTCATTATATCCACCGACATTCACCGGATATTCCAGCGGTTCGACGGAGCAATTACACGCTTTTCGCTGATTAAATCCTGCTCCATTGAATTCGCGAGGAAGATTCTTGGCAAAAAAACATTGCCCGAAGACTAGTTTTTCTCTTTTTTTTTTCAACTCCGGTACATTCGAATATTCAAAGAATGAAGTTTTAAGGGGCAGAAGTTTGTCCATTGATACTTCGTAAATTAATTCAGTGAGTGAGCGATCCAACTTCTTAAATCGCAAATTTCTCAAACTCCAGTACAACCCTCGTCCTGAATGTTAGACATCCACCATGGATCGGACAAATTCACCTGAAAGGAATTCATGAAAAAATTCCGAAGTTATAATTATAGGGACTTCCAAGACAATGCAAGTCGAAAAAAGAGACGTTTTATCCCCTTCAGAAAATTACCGAGACTATTTGACCGCCGAAATTTGAAGAGATTGGAAGAATGCCGCAATCCCGTTCACGTCGTCACCGTCGCCACAGGAACAAACGATCAGTTCCGAATCAGACGCCGAAGAGCGATTCAAGTTCATCACCGCACCGCCCCCTCACAACAACCAATGAAAATGGTAGTGAGGAGACAGCCAAAATCACGGAAGACAGCGATGGAATAATTGAGGCTAAGGTCAACGGTCATGCGGTCAAGGTGACAACCGAGGTCACTGAGACAGGATTGGGCCATGAGATAGGATCGATACCTCAGGAAGGTAATCCACATGGGCGCAGGTACAAACTCGAGCGTCATGCATTAGCAGAGCAAGGAAAATTGTGGGAAATAGTAGACGTAAGTGATCTACGAATGGAGGCATACGTTGGTCACGTCGCTGGTGTTGGTATAATTGAATCACGATTCAATGATGCCGATGATGTTAGAACAATAGTGACTGAGCCAGTTGAGCCAATTGGACCTCTACCCATTGATGTGACCTCAAGACTCAAGACCCTTGGCGAACGTGACTTTGCTCTGGCACTGGTGCCACCAAATGCAAACACAGACCGACCCGAGATTCGTGAGGTCAACGACAGTGATGCTGAGACAACAGAGTTGAGTAGAGGGGCTGTTGTCAGTGAGGCTGAATCCGATATTGAAATTGCCCCGAGGAAGAATGAAACGATATTGGAGGAAACTGAGGAGTCAGAGTCCACAGATAAAGAAAACTTATCTACTGAATCTCCAAAAGATCAACAGAAACTCCCAACTTTTTATTTGCCGAGAAAATCCAGTGCTTCATTCGCAGAGGCTCATAAAAATTCTGATAACAACGTAGATTTGTCTCCATTTGTAATAATAAGCGATCCAGAAACGCACATTGATTTGCCGATGAGAGTTATTGATGATGTGATATTTGAGGAGACCGAGACTGAGTCGGATTTTTACGATGAGCCTATTGTCAAATTGAGAGCAGACAAGTGTAAAGAATCGTTGCCACTGGCATCGCCGTCAGAGAGCTCTACCTCAGATGAAATCGATAAAGACTTGGGTTTAATCCGTCTCTCAAATGGCAGCAAACACTTGAGCTTATCCGCGGAGGATGCAGACAGTGAGAGAACAATAATCAACTCAAAACCAGAAAGTGAAACGGAAGGTGAAGATAACATTACCATCGAGCAAGAAGAATTGAACAACGTGACAGAGTCAAAGGAATCAACCGAGTGTAGTGATGATTCAAATGAGACTACAATAGAGGGTAAATCCAAGGAATTCAGTGGTGCATCGGCTGTAATAGAGATAGAGAATGGAATTCAAACGTCTCCGGAAATTCATGAGCCACAGTTGACTCGACAATTCGACGATAAACTGAGGATTAACATCAAAGAATGTGATTTAGGAAAGCGTCAGTGTGATGACAACAACCTGTTGAACAACGAGTGTCACGTTAACGAGGTTGAGTCATGCAATAGTGTCATTCGTGAACATACAGAAAGAGTTGATACCCTGGAGAATAGCACGTACGAGACAACCGGTATCGATCGATACTTGGATATTATTCAGGAGGAGGATGAGTGCTTTCCACCTCACGAGAGAGATATTCGTGATTTTATTAATGAAGAGATTGGAAAGTTTCGCCGAGAAATACGTAAGGCAGACGTTAATGAATACGTCATGGAATTCAAGAATAATGAATCTGATTCGCGTCATGAAACAATGACATTCAGAAATGAGAGCATCTCAAGTATCAAGAAGGTAAACGAGAAAGGTATCTCATCTGAGGGCAATAAAATGTACCAAGTGGAGAGCGGGTCACCAGTGAATCAAGTTAACGAAGAGAAATTGGATTCCGTAAAGAGGAAAAGGTGTGCACCACCGCCACCTAGAAGATCCAACAGTTTTAACAGCATGGACGTGGATAAAATCAGGGGTGGAGTACCTCGGAAAAGTGTGAATTCAATAATTTCGAGTGAACCACCGAGAGTTCCAGATTTGCCAATTGAAGTTATTAAAATCCATGGTGAGAACTGTGAGTATTTGCATTTGGAGACACTTCCAGTGCGTCCACCGTTGCCCAAGAATTTTAATGCCGACGATGCAATTTACCAGAGCGTTGGGCATCGTCACAACGAGGGAGTGTCCCCGATCACGCCTAGATTGCGCAATACCGAGGATGCCGGTAACTTTGGCAATGACGCCAGTGTAGAGATGCTTACCAAAATAACTCACGATCACATTGACAATATCAGCGATGAAGTGCTGGGCAAAAACACGGTGGCTTTTAGCAAATCTGCCCCGATGTGTGACACCACTGTATCCAACGGCACTGAGGTTAAATGTTCACGACCCCGGGGGAATCAGTTCGGCTTTATCAAAGAGAAGGTGCCACTCGAGACATTAAAACGTGAGTTGGTTGATAAAACACAAGTGAAAAGTTCAAAGTTTGTAAACGAGATCAAAGAATCGTGCAGTGACTCTACCAAAAGTGTTGATGTGTCGACAAACATTTCGTTGATCCACAAAGAGATGAATACCAGTCAATTTAAAATTGAAAATACAGAGAGAATCGATATAACGGAGAGTTCATCGACAACTGAATCAACGGTAATTCGTAGAGCTGCTAACACTGATCCCACCGGATTAATTGGCACGGATGATCAAGGCCAAGAGTCATCAAGCAGCACTCCCTCACCAGCAACAGTGAAACACGTATCAGACGAGGATGAGCCCACACCTAAAACACCTGAACCAAATCCCTTGAAAGACCTCTGTATCAAGAAGATCCTCTCCCTCCCTTACGGCCTCCAATTAATCAACGAGATAACTCTACCCAAGTTTGCTATCTTCAAGAACTTGGAATCCATCCACAAAACTGTGAAAACTCTGCAAATTCAAGAATCCAAAGATTTCAATACCATGAAGAAACGTCCAACAACTTGGATGGGCGTGCCGACGGAGGATCCACATCTACTAGTATGTCTATCTCCATCTCAACAAAAATCACCAGTACGCACAAGCGCCGACAAACTGCTGGATCTCCACAAAAAGTTTATCAATCGTCGCAGCTACCACCATGATCATCGAACTGAGATTAATGTACCGAAGTACCACATTGAAATAACCCCGTCCTGTACGAACCGCCAGTCACACAAATCCATAAAATCATGTGAAAAAGAATTGCAGCAGTTGGATGACGTCTCAGCGTCAACGAATCGTCTCCTGGAGATCGTAAAAGAGAATGCCATACCCACGGATTTACTTTCGGTCACGAAGACCCATAAAAATGTTGAGGAGAATCCCCTGAAATCTACCCTGGTAGCCAACTGGTTAACTCAGAGCAATAACGATCATCTGAACATACCCATCTGTGTGAGCCCACCATCATGTAATTTCTCAGACCAACGAGCGAGATACCAGGTGAATGAAGAAACCAGGGTGAGTGCATTCAGTCCGGTACTCGACAATCCTCACATTACCGCGAACGACATTACTGATATTGCTGCCAAGTGTCAGGCTAGAATTTTTGATAAGACGATCGTCGCTTCTCCAGCATCTTCAAGCAAGCTCAACGATAACATCAATAGGATAAATAGTGCATTGATACTGAGAACACCTGAGGGTACACATCAGGAGCATCGAAGTACAACACCAATCAATAGATCTCCAATTACCAACAGAAGTGCTATAATCGATAGAACGTGTGATATTGCTGTGCCACGTAAGTGGACACTGTCGAGGACAATTGATGCCGGACAGGTGAATCCTGCGTTGATAAATGATCGGCCTGAGACACCACCAAGACCACCAAGGACTGTTGATGTCGATCGTACGTGCATCGACACCACCAGTATTTTTGATAAGTCACCACCGAGGGCACGTCTTGCTCGAATAAAGTATCAGAATTCCGAGGCGTTGAAGCAAGCGACAGCCAGTGAAATTGTTGATAATTTGAAAGATCTGCAGATGAGTGTTAGGGAGATATTTGAAGGGCGTAGGCGTTACTCATTACCTCAGGAGTACTTTGACCGACAGCTCGAGTACATTGAGACCCTTGAGGATCAGCTGAAGGAAGTGATTATCGCTGAGGAAGAGGAGGAAAAGGCATTTGTCGAGCTGGAGGTACAAGTCCGAGAAATGGAAAATGCAAATGGAAACAAGACACTGTCTTCAAACAGAAAACAATTACGTAATGATGGTAATAACTTTCGCCAGAGTTGGCACGATGAGTCTCGAGTTGAAGACAACGGTTGCACTGAGTTTACGAGTGAGGAGGGACGGGAGGAGTCAACGAGGAGTTTTAGTGAGACAACGAGTCACGATGTGGAGAGCTCAATGAAGATATTTGAGAATAAGGAGGTGAACAGGGTGACGTCGAAGGGCGGAGGGGAATGCCAATGGAATAGATACTCTGATGATGTTTCAACGGATTCACTTGATGCTGAGAAACGAGATCATTACGAGGTACGTGGAAAGTTTGAGGGGCCCAGGTCCATTTCGATATTACCAACCACCGACGAAGTGTTTAGACGCAAGATGTATGATGAGTATGTTGATAAAGTTTTGGAGAGAGAGGAGAGGAGACAGCACAAAGTTATTAAAATTAGTTCGGGAATGGATTTGAAGGATGAGAGATGCAGGGACAATATGAGCACCATGGAGAAGGAGTTCATTGAGAAAGCGAAGGAGAGGCTCGACAGATTTGGCATTCGGCTGGATGAGTGTGAAAGGAATGATGAGAATTCTCGGGATCGTAGATGGGAGACTATTGAGAGGAATGACAAAGTGGAGAATGTCGAGGCTAAGTGTCTCATTGATGGAAAGGAGATAAAAGACGCCAAGAAATTGCCAAAACACCTGCAGGAATTCCTTGAGCTCGCTATCAACGAACTTGAAGACGGTGAGTTGAATGTTCAGCTAATCGTGGCAGAATTTGCTTGTTGAGTTACGTTGAACGGACTTTCTGTGGATTTTATGGCGTTGCATTAACACGATCACTAACTCGTTTGGTGTGTTTACATTAGTTTTATTGAGTGATTATTTTTCATACCGAGGGGAGTTGCAGGTGTTACGGTGAAATTGTCATTGTGATTATGGAATCAACAGGTTGACTATTAGGATGAGTTAAACGTACTGGAGGAATAAGTAAATGGGAAATTGAATCATCAACACCATTGCACATATTCACTGAATAGTAATCCCAAGTTTATGATGCTATTGATTGGTGGTTTTATCTCTGAAAATTGTTTGTTTATTTTGATTAGACACTTTGAGACAAGTAAAATACACCAGTGAGGCCAGCCACCCGCGAATCGTTACGTCATGACGAGGCAAACACCAATCCCTCTGACTCACTGAGCTTTAAGATTCGTTGCTATTATTTTTCAAACATTTCGCGGTTTAAATGAGACTCCGGTGCGCAGTCTGAGTCCGGGATGCTGATTCATGCTGTGGCTCCTTTCTATATTTAGGTACAAAACCGTGAAGAAATAGGCCAACGGTTACTCTCTGGACCCCGCGTGCAACGTCTTTTCGTATCACGGTTAATGCAGAGGAAACCACTGGTCTTGGGAATTTTTTTTTAGGTTTTGTTTTGGGTTTTTAGGTCTATTTCCGTTGCTCCGACGGCAATACTTGCGAGCTTTTGCGAGACAGTGGCTGTTTACCATTTGTATTACCATAGGACTGATTTATTTGGGTAATGGGATATTCGAGGATGCCAGGGAGAGGAGAATAAGATGTTTAATTTATTTGGGATTTCTGGGAAAGGAATTGTTTTGGAAAACAATTGGAATAATAATTCCAATCGACGCGAAGCGAATAAATCGACAATTTGCCATTTCAATTCTGTGATCAATTCTGGTTTGAGTAAAATTGAGCTGGAGGTGTGTGGGGATAAAAAATTATGAGGAATAAAAAGATTGTTTTTTCTACAACTCCTTCCATTGAGATATCTCGAAATTCGTTTGTTCCGGGCTTATCTTCCCTCACAACCACCCACTCTCGCCGCTTTTCCTCAAGTTCTATCACAAACTTTCCAAACTTTTTAAACATAGCACTCTTTATTTTCGAATCTAGTGATCTATCGTAGTTCCTCGCCTCATCTGATTCACCACGGTATTACATTAAAACTTTGGTTTACCACTAAAGTTCGCTATAAATAATTCAATAGTACGTGTCTTTATTCTCCCTTGCGCTACCTAAAACTCGAGTTATCCTCCCTAATGTTTCCCACTAATTGATATTGATATTTACAAGGTTCAGTGGTTTTTAAAAATAGTGTGACCCATTAATGTTTGAAATACTTGGTAATTCCCGCAATTTCCATCACTCTGGGTAATCCGCTTAACTCACTATAAATTGGCTATTTATTTTCATTAATTAGTTGTTGTTTCACGTGAATAAAATATCACTGTTTTTACTGACCAGAGAAAAATGATGGTGGGAGTAAAAAGGGCTTGTGAAAAATTGCTCAATATTTTTCACTATTTTGTACGTCATAACTTTATGAAGTGATTTTTTTTTTCCCTCTTAGGTTGAGGGATTTGAGGGGTGAAAATGGGATTTTTAAACTGATACATTTTTCTCTGTGTATCTGGGCACTTGGCATGCTTTTTTTTATGGTTGAAGGGTATGGCTATGGCATGGATGCTGGAGGAAAAACAAATGACAACGATTTACTGCACGAGATCGACATCGCTTTAAGAGACTCCAAAGGTTTTCTGCTTCGGGAAGGTGCGTTTTTAGACATTTCAATGGTGTCACTTTTTTTTTTTGGATAGAAAATTGTCAGGTTGACTCGTGAAATTCTTATTAAAAAATGCATGGGTCCTTGCTAGTCATAGTTGCCAGTAATATAATTAATTTGGGATTTTACCGCTCATCCAGACAATTTTAAGTGCGACCGGGCATTCGTCACTCATCCATACATTCGTTAGCCCACCGTCAGCCGCTCGTTATCCTGCTCATTCCTGTTCATAAAAAAAAAAAGTTTTAAAAAAACTACTCGTCTATTTCGTTCGTCAAGCACGTAGACCTCCCCCACCATTTTTCTTTTACTTCCCCCGTGATGAACACAGATAATGAGATTCGTCATACGGAATTTCAATGAATTTCAACCCTCTGTTTGCCTAATACCCTTGCGATCTGTCAAAGAGTTCCCCTGAAATTGCCCGCGACTGTTGCTTTTTCGCTTTCTTCAACCACTTTTCTCGTGTAATACGAATGAACGCAATTTCATTTCTCATCTCGTCGTAAGAAATAGTAAAGTGGGTGCATTCCGTCACTGAGAAAAATGCACTCGGTTTCTGGAAACGAAAATCCGATAAAAGAGAAAATTCGATTCAATGAATCTCCCCACTCCACCGACAGTTTCATAATTGAATTCTGAAATATTTTACGAATTTTTACGCGTTATTATTAATAGTGAAATATTATATGACTTACATTATATTCAATTCTCGTTTAATTCGGATGACTTTGTGATGGAAATTTCAAGAAATTTTTAACCGTGATGTATCTTTTATCAAACTTTGTTGATCTTATTTCCTTTTTTCGTCAACGTGTTGTCGAGGAGGCGGGGTAGAATTAGATTTGACGATGTCCCATCGAACTTTCTCGTTCTGAACGTAAACGTTGTTATCACAATGTTACGTTACTCGTGGGCATGACGATGAATCCAGAATAGGGGATGACAGGAAGTGAGGGAGAAGCCTCAATTGAGGACAAGCGGGGGAAATAGTGAAACTGGGAGGAAGTTGAAAATCGAGATTTTCTGTTTGAAATTCGGTAACAGTATTTTCCGAATTTCACGCCAAATTTAAGATCAACAGAGTTACCTCTGTTTGAATTGTTTTTACAAGGGGTGAAAGAGGGTGGTTGACACAAGGGTTATTCGTCTTCAGTAAATTGGGAGGAACAACAAAATTCTAGACTACCAAAGTACAATAAACATTGGGATAATTTGTTATTTGCTAATTGAGAATTTGCGTTCCAAGGAATCAAATTAGATTAATTATTTAAGAAGTCTCCATTAAAAATAATGCGACGAATTGAACTGATGTCGAGGATTATGATTTCAAATTAAGACTTTAATCTTCAAACCTCTCAAAAAATTTCCAGAAGTTTCACTCATAAATATTTTTCAAGCGTGGCAAAACCTGAAAAAGTCTTTCATCTTTCCAGACCGTACCTTCATAATAAAAAAATAGAATCAAATGAACAATTTCCCGGGATTATCTCATTCCTCTCAACCGAGATTTCACTCCGCGGTGAAGAAATTACCCCCAAATAAATAAACCCCGCAGCTCTCTAAAAATCCCTTCTCCCCCCTGCGCACCGTCAACCCAAAAAATTCATTCTTATTTCTCCTTCACCGGTGCGCATTAAAGTTTTAACATCACCTACGTAAAACCGGAATAACATCCGTAGCGAAAACTCGGGGTCTGAAGGCGTCGAAATGGACCGACGAACGGGCGTCGTGACGCCTCAGTCTTGATCCGTCGCTTGAGCGTTCGCCATTCGTAGCACGCGTTCCCATTCAATTTCAACGTACATAAACGTCGATCATCCAATCCCGTGGATGCAAGGGAAGTTTAAAAAAAATAATCGTAAAGTAATTTAAAAAAAGCTAAATCAACCAAAAAACAGTGAATGTGATGCTGGAGAAGAGTGAGTGGCAATTGATCGAGAAACTTGATCAATCGATTCTAGGAATCGATGAGGGAGGACAAGTCAAGTCCATAGATTTTCGAGGGATTGAAGTTGAGAATAAAAAAAGAGACAGTGAGAGCCTCAACAGGTTGGCCAAGTTACGGTTTTATATATCAGCGAAAAGTGACCGCAACTTTGCGACAAAATTGCATCATTTTACCTCACCCCCTAGTCACTCGTTTCATGGAGAACAAAGTTTTTCCGAGGGGTGTGTGAGGGCTCATTAAATGAACAACTTTTTACGACATCTGGCGTTGAGAATTAAACAAGAGACTTTTATTATTTCTTCAGTCCCATTCACTCGTTTTTATCCAATTATTCCCGATTTTCAAGTTTATTCTCGTCCGTTTGGCTTCAAGATTTTTTCAACTAGTCATTACGTAATGACATATCGGATTACTCTGTAAATTATGCTTGTGGCATTATTGAGGCTCGACCGGAAGTATCCAACCGTGAATGCCTCGAAATGTGGGACATTTTTAGTTGGTGTATTAATAGCTGAATTTTCTACTGTGACGGAGGTTAATTATAAAGATCCATCGGTCATTGTTTATTTGTCGATGCGAACCGAGGGTGGCCAATGTTTGGGATAATTGTTTTCTGACAATTTAACGTTCCTCTGGGACAGACGGTTTATCCCTTTGGTCTTTTGATTCTGAGAATATCTCGAGTGAGAGGATTAACCGAGTGAAAAGGATTTAATTATAACCAGACGGATATTTCCGTTTTCTAATGCACCCCCAATGGTATTTTATTTCACCACCCAAGCACGTAAAGCTAATGAGAAAATCTTTCACTGTCCAATGAAAAAAGTGTCTTATCACGGTAACGCGCCCTTGAATCGAAATATCGATGACCATATACTTTCGTAAGTATAAAACCTTAATAGTTCCGAGAGAAACGACTTGAGGTCCCACGATAAAGCTGTGCCAAGAGGCATTTTTCTCTCAGTGTACAATATACAAGCAAGTCGCATGTGCGAACGAGCCGGCTAATGGGTACTCAACAAGCCGTAGCTGAAGCAACATGAAATAAATAGCATTGAAGAAGAAAAAAAAAAAAGTACTGCCGTAAACATGACGAAAAATAACAAAATCGCTATGAGAATTCGATGGAAAACGAGATAACGACATGTCGTGACACCGATTTTTACCGGTTTTCCGCCCCTCCGGGTATTCTCTGGAGATCTTCAGGAAAATTACAAAGAAGATGAGATTTTTTCTCTTGACAATTATGAGGAAAAATGAAAAAGTCTCAAGTCAAGTGGACAAGTCCTACCCTGCGGCTTTGGTATGAAAATTGAATTTTCTCACAGCCACCACATCATTTAAAAGTTAGACCAAATGAATTCACATCGGATGCCAGTGCTATCAGTTTTCTAGAGACTTCACACGTCCCCCCATGGAGTGAAGGATCACACATTTGCGGTTACGACGTCTGAAGTTTCTTTTGACGTGAATTTTGATAATTGTGTTTTCACGTCGCGTATAATTCACCTCCGCAAAATCAGTTTCTGGTGCAAACATAACTGGAAGGACTGAAATTACTGGAATATACCATTGGAACGTTGAGAGACAGTGAAATGACACGACTATGTGACATGGTAGCTTGAAGAGCAAGAAACTAAGCTCGTCTAATCTCCCTGGGACCGAATACCCAGTGCCTGGGAGTGAGAGGAAGGCATTCTGAGAGCTCATCAAGCACGTTTATATATTCATGGAGCATTTGGGGTTGGTCTTCTCCTACGGGCATAGGCTTTTACTACGGTGGAGGATCTCCTTTCATACAGAAGAAACTTGGAAATAGTCTGACGCTCTTTTTTATTCTTCTTCTAGTCTAGCTCTTGAAGCTGATGCCACAAACGGAAGTTGCAATCCTATGATCAAGAGTCTAGACAACGATTCGATGCTCCTCAACGCGACATTCGATGAACAAATCATCTGATGGTCATTCCATCTCATTAGTCTAGCTCAACCTGAATCTTTGGAAATTCCATCGAGATGTGGGCTGACGAATTGATGCAGTTGGAGGACAAGAAATGAATCAACTTTGGTTTTTCTTTTTTCACTTTTTTCAAGTATTCTCATTTATTTCTGGCTTTTTTTTTTCTTGGTAGAATCATTGAGTTGCTCTGGAAGTCTGATAACTTCGATTCTTGCTAATTCCACTTGCAGAGTGGAGTACATCAGCGAGCGTTACGAGGAGAAACCCATTAGAGTGTAGCGTAAACCACTTTCGTACTTCTGGTTCCTTGCGAACGGTGGAATCAATATTCAGCTTCGGTGGTGGTAATTAGATGAAGAGCGGTGGAATCGGGTTTCTGGGTTGAGATATTGATACTGGTTGAGGCTCCCTTTGTATCAAAAGAAGAGTTTATCAATTCATATTTAAATATCTTCTCAATTTCGCCCAACATTTTTTTCTACTCATCATTTTGACATTTCACTGACATTTTTACCATTCCTTCTTGTCAAAATCGTAGTAAACTCCTTGAATCCAATCTCATAATTTAAAAATGAAAATAATCGCAAGTTAATCGAAATGATTGATGAGCTGCACCCGATCTTCATTTTAATCCGAATTTTCAATTATACAACGCGAATTCCAATTCAATTAAAATCGTTCATTAAATGATTATTTCAACTTGAATATTTAGTGTATCGCCTTCTGGAATAATTCATAAGACTCTGGGCTTTTTGTTTTTAGCTACATTCCTCGAAAAAAAAACCTATTGAATCTCGCCTTCTGGAATAATTCATAAGACTCTGGCCTTTTTGGCTTTAGCTACATTCCTCGAAAAAAAAAACCTATTGAATCATCGAAACAATAGGTCATAGAAGGCAGTTGGTTAAACTGTATCGTAAAAACTTAGCCTCTTGTTTCCTTTAATTTAGCCAACTCCCAAGATCGATATTCAGTGGCGTTGAGTCTATCGTCGTAAAGTTTGTGAACGCACACACCTAAAATTCTCCACTTCCTCTTTCACTCGCGATATCAACGTCTCTCTCACTCGTTACCAATCTAAAACTTTATCAATAGGCAAACAGCTCGTCTCTCAAAGTTGGTAAAGGGGATGAGGCTTAAACTATAAACGACACGCTGACTCACTGGAAATGGTCGTCTATAGCCCACTAAATGAAACAGATGTGCCACATTCAGAACAGTTGTGATGCATACAGCAGTTTGGGCCAGTTTTGCTTGCTATCACTGTCTCTTTCTCTCTGGGAGATTATCCCGGGACTGTAACTTTATTGCTAGCTTTTACCGATACACCATTTTGGTATTGATATAACGGTTTTCTCCATTTTTCTTTTGTTCTACTGTACGCAGAAAAAATTATAGCTGTTTTGTGCACACCATTTATTTGGATTTTTCGTTTGCAGAGAATATGTTTGCACCGACTTTTAAGGCATCTTCTGCCGGCAAAGGTAATTTTTCTTGGCTCGTGTGGTTTTTTTTTTTTGGAAAGTACTTTCGTTCTTTTGGGTTTTCGATGTTTGCTTGATTATTGCAGTATTTTATGAGAGGGAAAATTTATGTCTACATTGTTATTGTTAATGTTATTCAATATTAACTTTTTTTTATCGATGAAAATCGCGGTAAGTATTCCAGGTAAAAAAAATTGTAATCGGAATATTTTTTCCAAATTTTCAAATTTCAGGAAAACATTTCAAAATTTTTTTTTATGAAACAAAAAAAAATGGAAAACAAAACAATTTTATTTTTGGAAGGTTTTGAAAAATTTTTCAAAAATTTGAATAGGAAAATTTTTTTGAAAATTTAGATGGCGTATTTTTTGAGAATATTGAAAAATCAAAAAAGTCAAAAAACTACAGTATAATTAAAAGAAAAGATTATATTATTATATTAAGATTATTTATATAGAAAATTCTAGAAAATCCTAGAGAATTATAAAAAAAATTATCGGAAACCAATTTTTGAAAAATTTGTCAAAACCTTTTCCAAAAATACAATTGTTTTGTTCCCCGATTTTTTTTTGTTTAAAAAACAAAATTCTGAAAAGTTTTCCAGAAATTCGAAAATTTGGAAAAAATATTTCGATTACAATTTTTGTTTACCCGGGATATCACATGGCGTCATGTACATAGAAATTCAAAGATATCTGAAGCCTCGATTCACCCGCGGACTCCATTCTCATTTTCCCTCCCCCTCCTCCACCTAAAATCATTGGACTCTATTTTGAGAGCATGAATTATTCAATTACCGAGGCTGAAGCACCGAGTCATGAAATTTTAAAGCACTTCAGAAATGCCCCACACTGTTCCAACATATTAAAACACATTTTCAATTATTCCGGTTGCTGATACATAGTCATGTCCACCGCCATCCAAGTGCATGATTTAATTTTCTACCTTAGGGTATAATTTCAAAAGAATAATGGCCTCATTGTTAATTGGATCTACCAATTGTGGTCACTCGAAATAGAGCTGGCATAATCCCGTCGAGTTCGTGCTCCAGAAATTTCACACCGCCCTTTCCTGCACGGTAATGTCGGGTATCCTCGTGTGTTTGTGTGGTTTTCGCCAATTAAATTTGCCATGTTACCCCAACACTCGATGTTACATGATTAGAAATCATCATTTTTTATTTACTTAACCCCCAGTAAACACCAGTTGTAATGCATTCCAACTCGGGAATTAATACACTAGACTCAGAGAAATTCTGGGTAAAAAAAAATTGTAAACAAAATACTTTTTCCGAATTTTCAAAAAATTTCTGGAAAACTTTGCAGAAAATTTTTTTCTGAAACAAAAAAAAATTGGAAAACAAAACAATTTTATTTTTGGGCAAATATTTGAAAAATTTTTCAAATATTTGAATAGGAAAATTCAATAAAATAAGAAAACAACAGTATAATTAAAAGAAAAAATATCTCGAAATAAATTTTTGAAAAATTTCTTAAAACATTTCCCAAAAATACAATTGTTTTGTCTCCCAATTTGGTTTTTGGTTTCAAAAGAAAAATTTTCCGAAAAGTTTTCGCAAAATCTTTTAAAAACTCGGAAAAATTATTCCGATTACAACATTTATTTCCCCGAGATGTTAAACGTTAAATGTGAACCACAAGATTTCGAAATTCAACTTGCGTTTTTAAAATTGTAATTGATGATTTTAAAAAATGCAATTTCGAGTGCAATTTGGCACTGGTAGTGAATTTATCATCATGGGTGAAGTACAGGGGTAACGGGAGTGAAATCGCTCTGGCGAGGCGTAATCCAACGTTTTCGGGGAAACTGCCAGGAAAGATGTGCGCCCTTTATGTAATACGCCTCGAACAGCCAAGATTAGCATCTCCCTCCTTCGATATTCCCCGAGACCATCTTGATCTTGCTCCATTTCATCCTGACGTTTTCCCCTCAGGAATCCCCAGATGCCATCGAGGATGTGCCGAAACTTTCTGGCATTCAAAAGTCCCTTCCATCGTCCAACGCATCAAACTCGAGGGCATCCGGGCATTTACCCAACCAAATGTTTCACGAGGCCAATAACCTCTATTTACTCATACTTTTACAAAACTATATTCGAAACTTCAAGCATTGTATCCTCTAAATCTCCGTCTTCCACGAGTAACGGGAATTTCCGGATAATTATCATTCTTTTTATAGCATTCAGGTGCAACCTCCAGAAACTATGTTAAATTATTTTTTTCCATTGGGAGTCTGCGACCCATCAATCAACGTCGGACGCCTGAATTATTGAGTATCTGATCTCGTCATGATGAATTTTTAATCCATTGGTCTCGAAGAAAAATGTCAATTTTTAATCTGATTTACTGGGAACACCAGTCAATACAGCACCCAAAGAACTGTAATAATTCAGGAGATCCAACACAACCATGATGGCAACTTAATCGAATCTGATTGCATTATAATTACTTTTTTTTCTGCCAAATCCCTAGACCCGACAATCAGTGATTAAATATTTTATAATAATCTCTGATCTCTAAAATGCTTAACCGCCCTCCAATTTTCCATCAGTGAGAAAAAAATCCACTAAATGAATTTACACAGTCCAAGTAATTATTTTTCTAAGTACATCCACCGGGTACTCCCAACAAACTGATACCAGAAGTTATCATATTATTCGATATGCAATTGCATGAATTTTATTAAGCATCCGCATGATCTGTTTTTCGATATTGCGCCCCTAAATTTTTCCACGTGCGCTGATATTTTTTCGCAGGGGATGAAGCGAGTGGTTTTATATCAAAGTAAAATGGCCGAGACGGGGACGAATGTTGAATAAAAGAGGGGGTAAAGGGGGTGAAAAAAAAAAATAGCATTGATTTATGGGTATCGATTTGTCATGCCGACAGGTGTTTGGTCACCAGGCAGTGAGCCACCACCACCACGACAGCCGAGTCCTGATCGAGACAAGAATACCGTAAAAGATGGTGGTATACCACCAGTTTGGACACCATCTAGTGGAGGACCGAGTCCAGTTGTTGAGCGAAAAGAATTTCGACCTGTTCCATTCGAAAGTCCAACACTGAGCCGTCGGAGTAATCCCCAGGCACAGGTAAGATCAAATAATGACATGTACGATTCAATAACTTACGTAAAGTTTATAAATTTATCGGCGTTATTCTACTATTCCTACATGCCCCCCGGTGTGATATTCATATTGGCTGTCACGGAAACGACTGCTACGTGACTCGAATTTTTTTTCACTATTTTCCACACTTCTTGTCCTACCGTATTTCCATTTCATTTCTGTACTTATTTCGACAAATTGAATATCTATCTTCTTTTCTTTACACCCTCGCTTGTCTCTTTTATTCTGAATCTTAAACGTCGTTATTTTATAATTAAATGGCGACCAGTGATTTTCGCAAAATTAAATCTCAGTCAACAAACGGTGCACTGGGGGAAAAAAATATTCGGGGAGACGCTAAATCCGTGACAGCATCCAGTTATAATGAATTAATTAATTTGTGTAGCGGTTTATCGACAACGAAATTTTCAGCTCCGAAAAAAGCGCTCGTTCTGGCGAAATTTCCATATAATTTTTCCCACTACTTGTCACCTGGCATTTTATTTTAGTCCTGATATCAAGAAATTGGATATTCATTCCCTTTTATCTTCTTCACATGCAGCGACAGCTGAATTTACACTCTGATAAATTCATCAAAACTTTCATCGAGCCATAACGATAAATTTTGGTAATTTTATCATTTGAGAAAAGCTGTCAATAGTTTCAATAACTCGAAGTAAAAAAACAGTTGTCGTGCTGTTTTCCGGGTGTAACTGTTCCTTGGCTTCCAATTAGACAATGTTTCACCATCCCTTATTGAATTTTCCTCCAGTTTCAAAGTTCAACTGAGAAAATACCACCGTGGCAACAGAGTGAAGACAAAAAAGAGGCGTCCCAGACGATAACTCAGAATCTACCAACACGCATCGTAAACTCTCACTCTGTGCCATCCCAAGGGTTGAACACCCTTGCCAACCCTCCACGACTTCCGCGCGCACAAAATCCAACAATTACTCTACTCCAGAAAGCAAGAGGTGAGTTGTTGTTTAAAAAAAACAACCACATCCTCACCACTTCATTCGTTTTAATCTGCACTCGCATGATCAATGGTGCATGCTTTTTTTTTTCTCTTTCATACATTACTTTATGGATGTGTTCCCTTTTTCCGTATTTATTCAACAGAGGGTCAATTACCTAAGGGTGCCGCCTACCTCGAGGAAACTGTGGAAAAGAGTCACGAACGTCCAAGGGTCAGTCCCGGTGAAATAAGTAAGTTCGTAAACATTTTTAAAAAATATTTACTTCTGTTATTATTTCAATTATCATAATTACGCGGAATGCGCGGCTGTTTTGGCGTTATTTGAGAGCGTCGTTAGGTAGTTCGCGGGTGAATTTTTACAATGTCTTTGTGCTTGTTTATTTGTTATCGTGGTAATTGTGGTAGTTTATACGGTGAAACGAGAGTACGAGAGTGAACCCGAAGTTTCGAGGGAAGAGCCGAAAAAAATGGCGGATTTGGGACGTAGAAAAATTTTGGGAATTGGACCCATCACTAAGGATGGGATGCCCGTTGCACTGAGATCGGTAAGTCTCGTTATCCTTTCGGAAAAAAATGTCTACTCATTTTTTTCGGAACAATTCGATTGTGATAAATAATCCCTCCAGTTTTCTAACGTGTCGAAATATATCTTCTACCGTCGATAAATATTTTTTCTATTCAGAAAATTATGGCGGGAGATCTCCATCCTGAAAATGAGTAGACATTTACTCCACGCAAATGTAAATACGTCTGGAAAATAAAAAAATGCTGAACGAAAAAGATGAACAATGTAGAAGTGAAACCGGTCGATGAAATATTTCCATTTTCAGGAAGTGAAAGATACAAATCAGGCAAAATGGTACAAACAAATGTATGATTCGCTTCATCGAGCGAGTAGAAACGGTCAGTTATGTTTTCATGAATATAATAAACAATCGATTGGTGTGCAGACTGTGGAAAATATCATTTAATATATTTCAACGTTTTCGATATTACAGATGACTATGTGACAATTCGATATAAACCACGAAGAGGTGAATATGTTTGATGTAGAATCGAGATGATTTCAGTGAGAAACGCTTCACGATTGATTAACGAAGCTTAACCTCTGCTCAGACATTAGCATTTAACTGTGTTTGGTACTTGAATTTATGGGTTGAAACATAATAGTCTGTGATACATACCTATGCATATTCATGCTTATGCATAGATATGTGTTTCGTATACATATTTTGAACGTTATATAGATACCGTGGTTTTAGTGTAAGATTTAATATTAATTTGTTAAGTGCTGCTGTTCCATGGTGTGACGATAACACGATGAATATTAATGCATATTTTAATTAGGTACATGACGTGTTCTTTGTACTGCTTATTGATCTGGACCTCTTCAGATGATCTAGAGAGATTTCGAGAATTTTTCATTCGGTAAATGCTAATAATCCGTCAATTCTCTTTGTTTCTCTGGGTTTTGATTGATCGAGACTCATTTGAATCTCAAATCTCTCCAGAACGCATTAAAATCCGTCACTAATTTATCGCAGGCTTGACAATAACCCAGGATAATGCCTTCGTTAATCCCCATCTCAAAGTTTATTAAGTCAAAATACGTGGAAAGCAACGAATTTACAAATTGCCACAGTCATTATACATCTAATTATCCTTTCATAGTGGTTTTTTCACCCTCGGCGAGCCTCTATTGCGAATACAGTGATTGATGGTGCTGCTTAGCTATTGTAGGGGCCATGAATGATAAATGGCGGGTGGAAATAAATTCATACAGTCAGTTTCAGGGGCCCACACTGTATATCTTGTAACGACATGAAGAATTAATCATTTTTTTGAGATAGATGTTGTGAATTTTTCGTATTTTCATTCAGAGCAAGATTAAATTCCTTATGGAAGCTTCCATTCATTTCGAAAATAAAAAATTCAGCAACACGACGACATAATAAAGACTGAAAAATTATAACAAATAGATTACTCTAGAAATACGGATGAATATGGATTCCGTCTGAATGTTTCGTTGGAAAATTTCAAGAGTAATCCAAGAGTGGGGAGTTTTTTTTCCAAGTTTTTAATCGTTTTTCTTTTTGGTTTGTCCTTTGCAGGAACGAGATACGGACACGGCAGTGCCAGTGGATACCTGAGTGAGCCTGAGCCAAGGGTTTCAGCGGATAGATCGGTGACGTTGGACACCAGGAGGCGACAGAGAAATAAGGAGAATGATGTCGCCACCTCGACTATGCCGAGAAAGTGAGTTCATTCATAACTTAATTATACAAGACATTAGCCAATTGAATTATTTCGTGATATATTAAATATTATTATTGAAAAAATTTCGAGTTTTGCCAGCTGGCATTTTCCTCATGATCAGTCCAATTTGGACTCATTAATTTGTCATTTGTAGAAGTGCACTGGTAAAAACTACTGCCGAAGTCTATCGAAACCAGCCAGGACGTATCGAGAATTACCAGCCAGGTCGTTCATCAATATCCGAGAAGGAAACCAAAGAGGTACATAAATAACTCGAATTATTCATTCATCACATTGGTAAAGTGATGAGAAAATTCATCCGCTTACCCAGTGAGACAAAATGGCAAAACGAGACGATTCAATTAATGACCTAGTTCCAATGATTATTGGTTGAGCCTCGAATTACTCCAATACCCCATGAACAATGTCGGTAAACCTCGCTCAATTCGTATTATTTATAATTTTTTTAATTTCAATCTCCGCTTTTGTAGAATTTGCTTGTAGAGAAATCCCCTCCCCCGATCCAAATAAATTAAATCCCTTTAATTTCGAATTAACATGGGAATTCGTCACGAAATGGAATGCAGAGATGAATCTATTGACTGCTGAATATTTCATGAGCACTGGAAAAATAGCACGGTCATAATTCCATAAATGTCATTCTAACGATAAAAAAAAATACACTTTAACATTCTGATGAGACGCATAGATTTAACGCAAAAATGTTTTTGATTCTATTTTTTTCTAGTGGTGGGACGAGGTCATGGACATATTCGACGGGGTATGCAATCTTTTTATTCGTCCAGTCTATCTTATCTCTAATTGATTAAGTTGTCTCCCTCGTGACTCCCCCTGAATTACCCCCCTTTTCCTCTGGAAACTTTTGTTTCTCATCATGTTTCGAACTTCCGGTATCTCATGCCATAAGAATCATGCCGCACTGGGTGAGAGTAGTTTGCCAAGTAATTATCCAAGTGTTATTAATTCATCATGAATGATCATGCATAGTGAACGTAGCTAGGAACCGGAAGACTCGAAGTTGCGATGATGTTTGTGTTTACTAACAAAAAATTAATACCGGAATTTGATGATATTGGTTGGTACTTGATACTAATTTGATCATTTGTTTTTTTTTATCTGCAACTGATACTCGCTTCGCATTCGTCATAATGATGAATAAAGTCCAATTGTATTACGCCCAAACCCTGGATTATCCAGTCTTAATGAGATTAACTAATGAAGGCAATAATCAGTGGAGGGAGACTTTTTTTTTTGGCTCATCGATTCATTGCTTTATCAGTTCGATTCGGAGGCTTTTTACGCGATTTTGATAATGCGAGTAAAGAGCAAATACCCATTTTTTCCAATCGGATAACCCGATTTTATGGAACACTCGAGGATCTGGAAAGTTCCAATATTATATTCATAATATTTTACGATTCCCGCATTGCGCTATTTCGCAAAAAAAAAATTGAAAAAGTAATCCGATTGCGAAGTGAAAGCTCTACGGCTCTGGGATCAGAATATTCCGCATCAGTAATTTCCACAATTCACGAGTGATCAAGATTTTTTAAAAATTCCGTATTCACTAGGTCACGGAATGAGAATTAGCAAAATGGAATAAATTAAGTTTATTTCTCCGGAAAGTATCTCTCAGACTAAAATAGTACATTCGATGGACATTGGGAATAAATGCGAATAACAAAAGTCTCCTTTCACGAAATTATTGGAAGTAATGGAAGTCCTTGTGTGCGCGTGTCTTCCAAACCCCTGAAATATCGCCACTGGTCCACCCTGAAATGACAATCTGACGAGAAACCCTTACTGATTTGAATGAAAAAACTAAAAACACGAAAAGGCCGAGGAAGATTCGCAACTTCGACACCCCATGGCTCTCCGTACGTTCATTCCCACCCACCAACTGGTGAGAAGTATTCATCCAACAGTGCGTGCTCCATCAACCCAGTCCCAGCATCCAAAAAGCTCACTGCGCACAACAAGAGCTGTCCTCGAGTACAATGATCCCGATGCAATAGAGGTACTCGGTGCAGTGTCAAAAAAAACCGAGAAACACGATGCAGTGTCATACAAAGTCGATGCAGCTTCGGTAAATCTACTGCTCGGTCGTACATTATCGACAATAACAGCTGAACGTTTGTCAAATTCACTATCAAAATCACCGAAATACGAGAGAAATACGACATCCAGAAACCGACGTAACACACGTGACAGAACAAATCGTGACAGTCATCACAGCGATGATTCAATAGTTGTGAGTTTCATTGATGAAACGATAAAACCAAGTGGACACATGTCTGATCAGGAGCAATGGCATCCTGGTATGCTGGAGGAGAGATCAAAGAGTTTTGTTCTACCGAGCTCTAGCAGACGATCACCATTAATTGGTAATCGTACGGAGTGTTCAAATAGAGAGAGAACATATCTGACAATGAGTCCACGTAATAATCATCGTAATCATCAAAATCAACGACAGCATCACGATCCATCCATATCTTCTTCAACTTCTTCATCATCTTCCAGCACCATTCATATTACCATGATACCACCACCACCACCACCACCAATCACCACCAATGTTATCGCCGAGACAGCCTTGACGTCACCTTCACGGGTTAGACATTATTTCCCCCCATGACGACTTACGTGAACCGATACATGAGTTTTATTATTCCGAAATTATTAATAGACGTGCACGTTTTTTTGGTTATTGGTGTAGAGTTTCGTTAGTGTTGTTTATTTGCCTAGTGTTTTAGATCCCAATACTGAGTATTGAATCAATCTATTTCAATCATTCATCCAATTTTTTTTTTGTCATTGCGGTATATCGTTTTATGTTGAGTATTGATTATGAGAGAGAGTGCTGTTCAACTCGTTCATTCATATGTTGGCCGTTAAAATGCATTTTTCAAACAATTCGTGACTGTTAATTGAGAAAAACACTGAAAATTCTCTGTGTTGTCGTGGTATTGGGATGGTGTATCTCTATTAGGATGGCTTTCCAACTGTTTTATCGTTTGGTTTGTCGTTTATTATCACCAGCAGACATGCAGAATTCTCTTGAAATTATTTATGAATGTTGTTTGAATACGTATGTGGCTGTAATCCACTTTACACCGTGTTTCAATTAGATGTTTGTCCCTTTGAACCCATTCAAAGCCTCGTGATTCATTAATCATCCTCCCTTTTTCTATTCCACCGTCTGCTGGAGTTCTCTCGCTGTTGTTTATCGTCAGACTTGATTTTGCAAAGCCAATGCTGCTTTCGATTCAGCTAGTTTTTTTTTTCTCATTAGACTTCATCGTTATCACCTTTTAATTGGTCTCACTTTCAAACTCACTGTCGCTTGGATGTTTATATGTGCAGCATGTATGTTTTTTTAATCAACAAGTGGGAGAATCAAATTAAAATTAACTACAGACAGAGCGGAGCGGGAAATACTTGAAAATTTAATGAATTCTTTTTTTCACTTCAATTGTATTTCACGGATGATTATGGAAAATTCTCGGCCTCTACTCCTCCCTGCATTTTCTAGTCGATATATTTTTTGCAAATTGAATATCATTAATACTTTTTTTATGGAAAATGCGGGAGAGGAATCCGAGGTTTTGGTTTTCGGTTGAGGGCTTTTTTTAATTTTGGCAATTAGCGCGCTCATTGATTCGATGCTGTAGTACCTGCTCGCAGTCATTCACATTCGTTAATTATTCGTGATGGCACTTGGGCAAATGAAATAGAAGGAAAAATACAGCGGCGGGGTCAAAAGAGTTCATATACTGTATTACACGTGGGGTGGGGGGGCACTGTAACTATCTCATTATTTCGGAAAATTATTTCGCCGTGCACGCGTTTTCACAAGCATGCTCCAACTTTAATGAGTATTTCGTATGAAATTCACGAGACAACACTAAGGTGAATTAATATTAATTATTGCAATGATGGAGGCTGACCTTAATTTTTTTATTACGTTTTTCTAGCCCTTCGATCAACGCAACCCACATGCTGCCAAGCCCTACATGAGCCAGTGAGTTTCATCATTTTTAATTACGAAATTTAAAACTCTTTATATCGAATGTCATGTATGGTTTGAATTTAATCTGTTAGTCTAAAATATTGATAAATTTGGATTTAAAATAGCACTGCGAGAATCACTCCGATGGTTATAAAAAAATGATGATAAAAAGACGTAAAAGTTATTGAATCCAAATGCATAAAATTTTACTGGGAATTTTATTTCGTTTTCGAACTCGAATTTCCCGGCGTAGCGCGAAAAAAAAAAAGAACAAATTCAATCATCGAAATGACGAAAAAAAGAAATTTATTCTCGACAAACATCTGGTTTTTCTAGTGCTCTGAAGGAATCCGGGTACGAGAGCGATTCAACTCTTATTTTCCGTCGTCGTGATGACGCCAGTCCTCTGAGTCCACTTGAACAGAGATTGGCATATAAAACCGTGCAGAAGGGCGGCGACGTTCCACTTCACGGTCTTCGGAAACCAGCTCCCGAGCGTCCGAAAGGTAAGCTCATTACACCCAGAATAAATAATTTTTAACTCAAAAAAAAAAAATGAAGAAAAAAAAAGCATCAAACTTTTACTCGCTTTGGCAGGTTGTTTAAAACTCCACACAGGCTTACCAAATTATCAAATATTTATTCTCGTGCATTTTATTTATTTAACGGGATTCACACCACTTTTTTTCGAGTACCGAAAAGTAGCAGAAATATTAATTCAAATCCGAAACCAATTAACGAGCTGTAGAAATGACATTAAATTTTTTTAATTCAATAAATGATAAACAATCGTCAGAATTTCTCACCAAATATTTCTGTTCTTTGCAAACAGTGGCTTGATCCCCCTCAAATTACAACTCGCCAGTTTGTAATACACAAGCCTGCTTAATGACATGAAGAATTTTTTCCCAATTACCAACAATTGAATGACAAATTTTTGCATGAATTTTGGCACGATCACGAATGGTGCAAAGCGCTGCTAAACCATACTGAAAAATTCACTCATTTCATCCACATCACACCCCACATCCGGCATTTATCGTCGGATAAACCCTTTATTTACGACATTAATGCCGGAACCAACCACAATGAGCACTGCTGCGCCCCAAGAATCTCTCAATAACGGGCTCCTCAGGTTATACTTCCTCAATTTTTATTTCCAATAATATTTTACAAAGGCCTCTCCGTACTTTTTATCGCTAACTCACTGGCACGAAGAGGATTAGTCCATAAAACCACGCTCCACGAATGACCGCCTAATGGTGAAAGGACCCTGGGATAGCAACTAAAGGACAGCTCGTATAAAATTAAAAAAAAAAAAATGCAACAAAAATATTTGTCCACAGACGACGCTGAAATAGAGTACTTTCCGATAACTCGGACATTAACCAGAATCCGCGTTCGTCGAAGAGCCTCGTCGAACTCGATGTCTTCAATGACCCTTGATAAGTACAGAAAATCTACCCCCTCGCAGCTAGTGCCACTGTCCCGGCCAAATCTCATCGGTATTCCCCACAAAAGCTCAGGACGCCTTTCCCAATCAATTGCCACCCCACGACAACAGCCAACATTCCCAAATCGTCCGCCATCACCCCCTCGAAGATTATCCTCTCGAAACAGCGTGACCTTGAAGCTCTACGCATCGAATTACCCACATCCCCCTAATCCCCGGCATGAGCAGTGTTTCAGTGCCGAGGCAACATCAAATATCAAATTCCTCCGGGAGAGATTGAGCAACAAGTTGTTAAAACACGAGGAGACAAGAAACCCGAGAAATTCGACGATTCCACGCGCTACGTCGACAAGTCTATCATCATCGAGTCGTGTCAAACTCCGATCGACTCTTCCGAAACGTAAAATTGAGACCTGTCCCCTCAGGAAACCAGAGACGGAGCGATCAATTCGATCGACAAAATCATCAACGTTACCAAGAATAGGAGAGCTCAAACCACCACCTGGAAGAGTCAAGCTCTCACAAGAAACGTCACGATTAACGCGAGCTAGTAGTTCTCCTCCGGCTATAAAAAAAGACCAGAAAGTTCGCCGTAAGAAGGACACGGACGAAACTTTGAAACGCGCTTCATCCACCGACTTATCGTCGTCACCAGTTGAAGTTAGAAGGTTACGTCGACAGGTAGACGCGAGTAATGCATTAACAGGATCTGTCATCAGGAGTAGCTCCTCGTTATCCAGGGTGAGAAGCCAGGACACTGGGTTATCCAAAGTAATCCCAAAGTCCCGTGATAACCGTACGACAGGGTTGTGTCAGACGTTAAGAAGTTTTTCACCGGTGTCCGGTGCTTCAGGTAGAGCCATTACCGAAACTTTTCGACAGAAATCATTGACAGCGAGAGTGAGGGATAAAGTGACGCCAGCGACGATAGTCTGTGATCCGGGTAACCGGAGAAAAGCATCTGACAAACCGCAGACCATCGTCAAATCACCGCCGAAGAAGGCCGAGCCCCTGGTAATAACGAAGAACATCGACAAGAAGAAGAACGCTAAAAACTCCAAGACTAAAGCACCAAAGACGAAAAAGATGATAGTTGATGGTGAGAAGACGAAGGGGAGTAAGATTTTGGAGAAATCAGTTGAAACTGTGAATACGGAGCATCAGACGTTGACGATGGAGCGAATAAAGCAACACACCGAAGCGACGAGAACCGACCACTTCTTTCAGAATCTCTTCCTCCGGGATATGCCGTCACCGACGGCCTCGCAGTCCAGCACCCTGAGGAGATCCTCCGTTTTGGAACGTGCACGCATGTTCCAGGAGTTCGGAGTGGATTCGTACAAGTCTGAGCCTTCTCTTCGTTCCCTCAACATCTATCTTTCGACAAAACGGCCAGTCTCAAATTCTCGTTTCAGGACATTTGAGAGGGACAGCGTATCATCACGCAGCTCGAGTCCTTACGGTGTCAGCTGGCCGGGTCGTTCGCCCTTCCAGAAGATCAATAAGTTTGACAGCTTGATTAGAATGGATGAGTTTGGATCGTCGACTTCGCTGAGGGGCCGCAGCCCGGAACCGAAGGAGGGCCTGAAGGAGAGGAGCCTCAGTGAGCCCCCGATCAAGGTATCCTCGGTATCAGAAGCTTCATCGAAGCCTTCAATCCTTTCGTTCTCCCGATCTTCTTCTCCGTCGCCGAGCCGCTCCGCAGCCTGCCGGCGAATTAAAACTCTCAAACAAGACAGATCCGACACACTTCCGAAGATGAGAGCCAAGAGTGCAAGCGAAGCAGATGACTCTGAGCGTCGGAAGATCACCTTCGGCTCAAATCTGTCATTGGCAAAAAGCACAAGCTCCCTCGAGTCATCTCCTCCCAACCGAGCTGAGTATCAGCGATATCTCTTTGAGATGCTTCACACCAAGAAGAAGTCGTCGAGGTACAAAGAACTTCACGACTTCTACGCGAGTCTCGAACGCATGGGGGAACTCGTCAAGACAACATCAACTAGTGATATTAGACGACGTCTCAAGAACGAGGAAATCATTGACTACGATCGCTGGCGTGAAATACGTGCCAAAGAACGGGCTGAACAAGAGCTCAAGACTCTCTACGGAAAACTCAAAGATGTTCAACGTGAAAAAGATTTTCTATTCAGCACAAAGGACGTTGAGAACTATAGATGGCGTGGCGATTGTGGATTGAGGTGTAAAGAAAGATCGGTGGACAATATTCGGGAGAGTTTTCACAGGTTGGCTAAGGAGGAGAGTGAACTTGAAACGACTAGGCGACGTGATATTGCATCGAAGAAAGACGTTTATAAACCGCTGTGGAGGGGTAACTCAGTTGTGAATGTTGCCAGTAACATGACAAAGAGAGCGAATGAAGAGAGGGAAATCGATAAATGTATTCAACCGGCTCTGCAGAAAACTTTGGGTGGTAGTAACAAGTTTTGGAGTAGTTTGTCGGTGGAGCAAGTGAACACTTTGAAGAATCAACTGAATGAAATCTATGGGACGGATAGTGGGAGAAAGGTTGGCGGTAAGGAGGAGGAGAAGGACGAGAGGATTGACACGTGTGATGTGATGAAGGATGTGGTTCAAGAGACTGTCGTTAAAGAAAAGTATGAGGTCTTGGTACCCGAGGAATTTGGCGATGGGATTGAGGAGTCGAAGGGACTGCACGTCAGGTGTCACTCGATGCTGATGTCGGACATAAGAGGTTCGTCGGAGACAAAGCTGACGGCTTCGTCGAGGAGGAGAGGCTCAATCGGTAATGGCAGGAGTTTGGACAGATTGGGAATGGATAAACCGAGTCTACTCTCGGAGGCGGATAAAAAACGACTGTCCTTAACCCTTGGCAAGGAGATACTCCACAAGATGTCGACGAGGGGTGAGTCAAAGTCGCCGGTGGCACCACGTGAGACACGTGGTGCCATCGCTGTTGCGTCGGCAAAAAATCACTCGCAAAGCCCCACGACGAACAGCACATCACCGAGGACGTGCTACTCCCTGGAGGCTTCTCTGGATGAGGAGGGCTTTAGGGCTAAAGAGAAGAGTGATTTCCTCCTCGTTTTAACGCCCAATGGGGACAGCCCGGCTGATCGAATCAAAGTGGAGAATGCCCTTGAAGAGTGGAGTAGGAAACCTCCACTGCTGGCGATGACAGCGCCACCGACAGCTCTTCGTCATCCTTCCGGAAGTGAAGTTGATTCGGCCACTGAAAGCTCTGAGAACTCAGTGAAAACTGTTGTACGACGGGATAATGAAGCCGAGGATGTACCCAAGAAGATTGAATTCTTCGAGAGCATTGAGAGCCATAAGCGTCCAACGGAGAAGAGCCTCAAGAAATCAAAACTCTCGTCGTCCCAGAGTTTCGCTGATTTGAAGGAACTCTTCGGTGAAATGGACTCGGCAAGATATGCAACCTTGCCCCTTCGCTCAGTTCGCACAGCTAGCCGGCGAACGACCTCACCCGGAAGTGAAAAGGGGCGAAGCACTTCCGCCTCGCCTGACGTTTCGCGTGGCCGATTTTCTGGCATTTCACGCACAGAACACGACGACAACCGCCCACGCAGTGCCAGTCCCTGTCGCGTGTCAACGTCTACTGGGAGTTGGGAGAGCATTCGTCAGCGCAGTGTCTCACCGGATCCGGAGAGGTACTGGCGGGCTTATTTGAATCTCGTTAAGCACGGTGCTGTCCGAAGACTGAGGGACAAGTTCGAGAGTTTGGAGGATTTGTCTGGGGGACGGGTCAAGCAGGTGGCAACACCCAAGCGATTTAGAAGTGATCCGGAATTGACGCGTAACCTGTTGAAACGAGTCGACGACAAGAAGATTGTGTTCAAACCTAAGGAAGTGCCCGACGTTGCCTGGTTGAGGCGAAAGTATGAAACACGCAGGGGTAGAACCAAGTGGAGAAATAAATCACCACCCATTCCGCGAATTCCACTGAGACTTGAGGATCTTCAGATGCCGCATATCAATGTTATTAGCAAGACTGTGGAGCTCAAGGACAGTGTATCGAGATCTAGCTCGATGAATTCTTTGGCAATTCGAGCGGAAACCGAGGAACTCGAGGCTAAGAGACCTGTTGGACGGGGACGAGAGAAGTTTGAGAAATTGCACGGTGGTGTTGCCCTCGGTGATCTGTTTACCTCGGCTCCTGATGTTCATGAGTTGAGGGATATTTCACCGTATTTGGCGGGCAAGTGGGTGGCCCACAAGTATCCAAACAAGCGGGACAATGCCAGGTCGATCTCACTTCCACCGGATCTTCAGAGTGGCGAGGAGGTGGGGTTGGTGAGGAGGAAAGCTGCCACTTTACCCAGGGGTGAGAGGGTGAGGTCGCAGGGTGGCAGGAGAACTGGATCAATTCTCAAACAACCGCACGATCCGTTTGCCAATCAGCCGTTCGATCCCAGTAAACATCGGCCGAGGTACAGGTATCAACCACCACCACCTCTACCACCAGCGCCTAGTGTTGGTAGGGCTTGGTGGCCATCTATGCCTACTTACACTGCTAGGCCAACAGTTACTTTCGAAGGTGCCAGTTAGTTAACATAACCTGATCACTGTTATTGAGGGATTCGGTTGATTCGCGCAGAGACAAATTTGGGAAGATAACTAAATTTACTTGGAATTCGAACGTGGAATTTACACTCATGCAATTAAAAATCAACTTGACTTCTCAACAAAAATTTCAAGGAATGTTTAATATTGTACTTTTTTGGGGGGATATTTAACTGCTTCTGATTTGTCTCTGCTCGTCGAATGTATTGTGTCGTTATCATTTGTTTTCATTTTAGTTGATACTTTATTTTTCAAAACGTTTCATAGAGTACACGAATGCACCCCCGCCGCCACCAAAAACTCATCAGAGCAGAATCGAGCGTCCAGGTAATACCAAAAAAAGAAAAAAAAAACACATTGTCGATCTCATTGATACGCTTCCTGTTGCTTTATGCCTCGTCGTCCTCGTGAATCACTCATTTTTTCATGGGATATTTTCACGGAAATAATGCGCAATGGCTTAATGTTATTCATGGGGAAATGAGAGTTGGAATGACAGTCACGATGACGACGAGGTTGTCTTGATTAAAATATGTGTCAATTTTTTTTTAGGGGGGAGGAAATGGGAATATATTTTTTTTTTTTCCTTCGGAATCACGACTGCTGCGCATTTCGATGCAGAAGCGTTTTCATTAAAATGTTCCGGAGTAATTCGAACACATTTCATCCTTCCATCTATCCCGCGTTTTTTGAGAGAATAATGCTGAATGCAGGGAGATTCTCAATTAGTGCTCGTTATTTGCATGGTCAGTATTCTGGAATGCACAAGTTTGCATTACATTCCGGTTAACTGTTTAGGGGAAATAATTTCGACGTTTTACTTCACTACCCTTACCATCAACAATTTACAATGTTGAATAAATCGGTAAAATGTTAACGTGGTTAAAAATTCAGTGAATTTTATTTCTGGTGTACTTAAAAGTCGATGGGAAAAATCAACTGAACATTTTAATGCAATTATTCCCTGGGAATTCAATTGAATTATTTATTGTACATTTCAATGTTTAATTTTTAACATTCTCAATATAATTTGTTCAGTTGAATTATTTTCCAACAATTAATAGAACTCCAGAAAACTCATGTGAATATTCTCGCTCACATTTACCTTAATTACCTACAATTAAATTGTAATTTGATACTGAATATTCCCGAATCATCAAAAATTCACTGCAACGTTACTAATTCATTTGAATTTTCAATGAAATCATGAATATTCAGTATCAATTACAACGATAAAAAAAAATAATTCAACTATGTCAATGAATTCGTTGAATTCTGAATAAAATTTGAAAATTCCCAATTTCTCCCCCGATGTGAAATTAAATCGCATTGCTCTAGAAACATTTATCCTACTCTCCCTGAAATAAAAATTCCTCTTTGCGTATTACATTAACGGATTTAATGACTCATGCATCAGAGAAATTTTTTAATCACAGAAAAACGCGAGCTGTAGGTATCATATGTTATTCGTCATGAAAAAAAGGTTAAAAAAATTATGGAAATTAAGTGGAATTTTGTAAAGTCGAAAGTGACATGTAGGGAAAATGTAACAGAGTGTGTTTTCTGGTTATACATATGGAATATGCAATGCATGGTGCATGCAAGAGTCCAGGAAACTCATCTCGACTTTTATTTATAGTCACTGCATGGTACGCTGCCTCGCCAGGATACAAAATTACCCTGGGTGGAGATAGGACATTGTGTAACTGATTTTTATGTTGAACAGTGGTACAAAATTACTCGATTTTTGCCTTTTTCGATGAATATATTTGTAAATGACATTAATTTGGGAGGAAAAGAGGAAAATAAGCGACATTTGGCATTGTTTGCTCGTTGGGGGAATGGGGAAAAAGGGAAAATGCAAGTGTCCGACACAAAAGGAAACGAATTGAACGACAAACCCTGGCGTAACACAGCCGGAAATTACGTAACAGTGTGTATGGAGGAATTATTGCCCTCACCACGCGCCAGTGCCTGCGAAAATTCGTTTTTCCTCGCTCCCGGGAATTTTCACTTGACTAAGACCGCCATTTTATTCACCGAACCCTCGTGTTTCCAGATTTTTCACTACTTTCATTTTGAAATTTCAGACTTGAAGTTTTCATTCTTTTGTGCAGGTGACACTTCAGGAATTTTCAGCACGAGATCTCAGGAAAATTATAAACGTTTGAATTTCCCACATTTTCACGATTTTCACTGTCATAAGGACCCAAAAATAGAGAATTGTCGTAAAAAATTTCAACTTTTTACACTTACAAATTAAAGTGTAATTTTCCAACATTATGTAAATATATGAAAAATATATTTAATAAACATTGACATTCTTCGATTTCTCGATTCATGTATATTTTGTACTGTACATTTGAAAAATTCATGTATACGTTTTCGTTTCGCTTATTCATCCGTCCTGAAGCTTCGGAATTCATTAGAAATGCCCAATCGATACCATGAAAATACTGGAAGATATCTCGCCCCATTTGGTATTCACTCCATGCAAATTCAATGTATATTTCCGAAGAAAGGAACACAACAATGACGCATCTCCCTCGAAGGTATCACCAAGTGAAGGGCTATCGATTGCGTGATGCATTATTTGTCGTCTCCTCGAGTCTCGAGATATCAGATGACCCAAGGGCTATGAAAAATCACGAGGAAAGTAATTTTAAAGCTGGTGGAGCCGACGAGGTCAAGTTTACTTGACCCGGCACTTTAATTCTCCATCGATCCAACGATAATCCCAGGTCATAGGCTTCAGAAAATATTTGGGCTCATTTTCCCCATTAATCGATTTCGATTTTTTTTTCTTATTTCATTGATAAAATGGATTGCAAAATCCTCCCAAAAAAAATGAGTTCCAATAATTTTCTACTTCACAAAATAATATATATTTTTTTTTTTATAGTTCAACGGGGCAGGACGGGCTGACGTTAATTTTCCGGCGTTACCTTTCGTTGTATTTACGTTGCAGTAGTTTAATTATCTCAGTTGGCAAAGTCTCGAGCACGTGATTTTATTAATGTCGATATCGTGCCAGAACGGCCTTGAGACTTTGGCGATGCAACGCAGTACGTAGAGCATAATTAGCTCATACCAGTGCGTACTGCAGGCGCAATGCAACACGAATATGTTGGCCATATGTTGCAGCTTAGAATGTTCAAACATCGGTCAATTGTCGCGTAAAAACAATTTGAAATACGTAACTATTGATTACGAGACTTTTCTTATCTAATCGGCTAACAGATAATTGTTGTAGCCGAGTGAATTCCTGAGCATTCGCCAGTGGTGTCTAGTTGGTGAATGTGAATGGGAAATTGTGGAACTCATTTTCACGATTACTCCGCAAATATTTATTTAACTTTAGAAAATCAAATTGCTAAATCATTTGTGGTCAGGATAATTTCTGAATTAATTCATCGCTTCTTCTGTTTTTCCGTTCCATTATTTTTCGCTGGAGAATTTTACCGGTGACGCGGTGTTTTATTTAATTCAAGTCTCATTTTCATATTCATTTCACGTGGATGAAAAATAAAGTTCTCGGGGTTTAAAAGAGAAAGAGTGAAGTGAGGGGGAAAAAGTGGGGCACAAGTTTTTACACGTTCATAAAGTCTTGAGTGGAATTTTAAGAATTTCAGGGAGATGATAAATCTTGTGTTTCGGAATAGAAATGGTCTTTATGGAGAGTTGTGAGATTTGTGAGGTGTGAGGTGACAAATGCAGAGAAGTGAGAGTGCACCCTCGGGAGATTTTTTTTCAACTTCAAGAAACACTTGTTGGTTTCCACGAATTTTCTTGTAAACTCTGGGCACGACGGATTTTCTTATTGCTTTCGAAATCGGAAATTCCTTCGGCTTCAAAAAAAAATTCCCTCGATTCACCCCTCACCCCCAAATATAAATAAAATAATTAAGAAAATAAATGAATAATCGAACAATAGTTACAAATTTTCACGAGTGAAATGAGAAATTCAGAAAAGCTTGAATGCAATTAACATTAACATTTATCGGTGCATTGTCTCTTCTCCCCCACCCCCGAAAATCGTGAATTAGATGAGGTGACAGATGGAAACGGACAATAATGTTCTTCACGCGATTGCAATGGAATTGGTGATAACAGTTGGAAAATCACGAAATGGTAGATCGATTGGTGGTGAACAGCCGGACAAGCCGACGGTCAAATGGTCGATTATGGGGGTAACGTCGTCACAATCGCTGAATAATTTTGAATAATGAAAACGAGCAAATGAGCCAAAGTGAAATCGTTCCCCATGCAAATGAGCGAGCACACTACAGACGCAACATTCTAGGTAGCAAACTGCAAGAATGTAGTTTGCCACTGGGATGATATGCTCTACATTCTGAGCACGTACATACCTCATTGGAATAGAATGATAGGTCGGGTGTGAGAGTGCAAGTAGCACAATTCTCAAGCTGCCACATGCGAGACATTCTGGTGCCATTATCACTCTATTTTATTTTTATTCCGTTGAATTTCGGGGAATTTCAATGAAATTTCACGTGGGAATAAATTTATACTGACGTCCTGGAAATTGAAATACTTTACTGATATTGTTTTATTTAAGGCCCAGGTGGACTGTCTATCGAACGTCGACTTTTGTTTTATTTAATTATTTAATTTTATATTTTTAACCTAAAATGCATTAAAATTTGGCATCAATTTTGAATGAACATGAAAAAATAATGAAAAAACAGAGGAAAAATTATTGAATTGCGCTAAAGATATATTATTTAAAAAGGATTTACCATTTTCTGGAGAGCAATGGCAAACTGCGTATTTATATTATTTTTTTATAAACTTGGTAGATCCCTTTTAAACGATATCGCTCTTTAGCGCCCTCCAATAATTTTTCCTTTTTTCGTTATTTTTTAAATGTATTTCAGACTAAAAAGGTAAAATTTAAACAAAAGATGGCATTCGATAGATAGTCCACCCGGGCCTTAATAAAAAAAGCCATTTTTTTTCGATCTCCCTAAGGTGTCTTCAATTTTTCAGGGTATTGGGTAATTACCGATTCAATCAAATGTAATGGCATACAAGCTCGTTGATTAGTTCCCCCTGCACTTGATTGCACATCAAATTGAATCGATTAATATTAAATAATCATAATCAGGAAACTGGGTATTTTGGAGGGTGAATGGCTAGCGACGAAGCAATTTCAATTGTGCCTCTAATCACTCGCACAAGAATGGGGAAAGGACCATGTAATCCCCCTTCTCGTCCCGAGGGCTTTCGAAGTCGCAAAATTAACGCTCAACAGTTAACGAGGAGTTTCATTCTGCGGTTTGCCCATTAGTCTTCAATTAGGTCGAGTGGAGGGAATAATTAACGAATAGAACGTAAAACTCATCCACTGGTTCTATTCTGTTGTTGCTTTCACTATTTTTTTTTTCACTCTGCACATGTCGACCCAGAGCTAATCTGTTTTCATTAAAATCCCAATTAAAATATTACGCAAATTATATTACCTATCTGACTAGTATTTTTTTCTTAATGATTATTATTGTTATTATTATTAGCATTATTATTATTGATATTGTTTCAATTTCGATTTATATTCTTTTTCTGGTGTTTTTTTTTGGATTTTTTATTCTTCTTCTTTTAGTTGTCCCTGTTTTTATTATCGATTCGTCAATAATTCAGTTCTTAAAAACCGACCCAGTACCCGTGACAACTCTTCAGGGTACGGCAGCCATTAGATGCAATTTAATAATCCGACGCCGGTCCATTCCCTACGATGCTAATGGATGATCCTGCAGAAATACTCGAGAAAAGAAAAAAGTAACTGCAATAATCATAATACGTTTCTTCATATTCTTCTCTATCTACTTTTCCGAGTTATTGTTGTTGAATCCTTTCAGTCGTTTATATTCGAAATACTCGGGATAGCTTCGACAATCGCAGTCGACGCTTTTCATCTCGCCATTGTCATTTTTTTTTTCGGAATTCCATTCTGCGAGTGGAGTCTTACATTAAAAAGAGTTTTGACAATTATTTTTTCGGGCTACGGTATTCAGAGACCCGGATAAAAAAATTGTAATCGGAATATTTTTTTCCGAATTTTCAAAACATTTCTGGAAAACTTTTCGGGAAATTTTATTTTTAGGAAATGTTTCGAAAATTTTTTTTTATTATTTTCTAGAAATTTTTGTGAATATAATTTTTTTTTATTATACTATTGTTTTCTTACTTCTTTGATTTTTCAATATTCTCAAAAACTACGCCATGTAAATTATAAAAAAATTTTCCTATTTGAATTTTTGAAAAATCTTTCAAAACCTTTCGCAAAAATAAAATTGTTTTATTTTCTTTTTTCATAAAAAAAAATTCTGAAAAGTTTTCCCGAAATTTTTTGAAAATTTGGAAAAAAATATTCCGATTACAATTTTTTTTACCCGGGAATTGACCAGCAAAAAATATATATCCCAATTCTTTCATTTGTAATATTTTCCCGAAGTATATAGTATATTTGCAATCCAATATTTTGATTTCTAATATTTTTTTGGAATATTTCACGGAGTAATATTATTATTCAATGAACTTTAGTCACCAGAGGGGACTGCAAAAAGCGGAAATTTTCAAATGTGTAAAAAAAATGGTGAAAAATTCTCCCGTTACTCTTTTCCATTTCTCGATAAGCAATCTACGTGTCTCAGTGAGCGTGACGGTTCGCTGAGATCCGCGAGTTGAACGCAGGCTATCCTTACAGTTATGGAACCCGATGGTTTTGCCGTTGGTGTTAGTGGTTTGATCTTCTTCGTTATAGGAAGAGGGGGGCATCCATTGTCTTCGGTGCCCCCCCAGGGTACCTCGACTCAAGACACCGCTAAAGACCTGGCCAGTGTTTCTCGAGCCATCGGTTCGGTCGAACGTGATTTTTCCGTTATCACTGGCTGCAATATAATTTATACGTCACCCTCTTCCCCACGGAATTTCCGATCTCAAAATCAACAATTAAACCTATTTTGCCCCCCCAGATGCCTAAAAAATTGCGAAAATATGCCTGAAAATTGAAGTGGATAATGAAGTGCTCAACGAAATGCTTAACGAAGTGAATACCTAAGAAATGGAAATTAATTAACAATTATCTAATTGGACATCTCCACACCGAATCCGAAAATTAATTTTTCCCCAGAGGTTTTCCCCCCGAAATCATCAGTTCGCCCACGTGGGGAGGGACCCCACGACCCGGATAATGCAGGAAAAACAGTGAATAGTTATTAGTGCCCGTTAAAAATGGCGACAATTTTCTCCTCGCGTTGCCGTGACCCTCTCCTCCGGATGGACCTTGAAACAACCGCGGAATGGCTGAAGAGTTCGATGAACGACTTGTCCTCCCGACCGGACCTTCACCTCGCAAAAATCACAAAAACCGAGGAATTCCCCCTGCCACCCCCTTACCACCATGGCCCCCACCCATCCCCCTGCACCTACTGTACAGAAAAGAATCCTGATAACGAGGGACTTTCCCCGAACCCCGAGGATACCCAGAGGACAGATCAATCCCATCATGACGATAGGCTGTCGGATGTCCTCTTTCGACCGGGATCAGCCGAGTTCAGGGGCAGCAGAGAGCGCCTCCACGAGATATTCGAGCACAACAGGCGCCTCAGGAAGAGATTTTTTGAGGATGAGAGTGGAGAAGTGGATGAGAGGGCGGAGGGTGTGAAGGGGGTGCGATTTGGGAGTACAGAGACCTTGGGGAGCCAGAGCAATGGGAGCAGTGGTGATGGCAAGGGTAGACTGAATTCCCCGGATTTCGGGGATGAACGGATCGAATTGAGGGGGAAGGCTGGTGGTAGGGGTTTCAGGGGGTGTGAGGGGGTCAGTTTGCAGAAGGCAGGGGTAGCTGATAGCCTTAAGTCTCCACAACTCGTTAGCAGTTTCAGCAATTCTATGCTGGATCTTCGGGCTGAACTTCCGGGGGACAAGGGGAGTTACGACATCCCTAGAAATATCTCCAGGGACAACGGGAATACCATCCCCTTCGTCTATGGACCCATACCATATAGTCAGTAATTAGTCTGCGTTGAGAAAAAAATATATTTCTGCTACATTGACTTATTGTCTTGTTAATTTTTCTACGCTGTTGACATTTTTTTCAAATTTCAAGTTGATTTTTCAACGGTGTACACAGAGAGAAATATTCTATAAAAATTACATGTATTTTCCCTATTTTCCGTAATTCTGGGGTGAAATGTGATTATCGGAAATTTTACGGGACTGTCACGTAATTTTTATCTGAAGTCACAGAATTTTTCTCTGAATTATCCCTGAAAAATTACGATACAGTCACTTAGATTTTTCGAATCGACTCTGTAATCGGTAAGTGAACTGACTTACGAGTTCCGTAATTTTTACTGAATATTTATCTCCGTGCAGAGCAATAAGTAAATGTACATAAATATTTGAAGAGAATATTGTATTTGTCTCGAACATTTGGAATTTTATGGGAAAAAATCGAATGACTCTCCGCGATGGCATAACCGTTGGAAGAATTCTATTCCGTGGGGATTTATTAGATATGAAAAATAGTTGTCGGAGTTTAGGACTGTAATTAGCCCGTCGTTTTATACGAATATGGGAGCGTAATTGCCGGAATAAGCTGTTGCGAAAGTAATGTGAGAAGACATGAGGTTTCGCCGCCCAAAGCTGAGAAAAATGAAGGGATTGAGAGAATCGATAATTCTAAAAAAATTATTTATTCCACTGGAATAAAATTCATTCGCCAAAACAACAGCCTCAATTATATTCCTTAAATTTCCCTAATTATAGTCCCAGAGTAAATTCAATATCTTTCCTATTTTTTGGTTTCGAGATAGATGAGATGGGAAAAATAATTTCAAGTGTCGTTAAACAGAGGTAAATGCTAATTACGGGGTAGAAAAATGAGAAATAAGTGTTGGATGTAATTGAATCTGTCGAGAAGTCAGAAAAATGTGGGGAACTGGAATAAACGTTTGCACTCGAGTGGAAAGGAATGGAAGTGGAAACGTCTGACAAAGGGAATCCACAGTTGGGGAAAAAAATTCGTGGGTAATTGAGGGATAAAAATTATGGGAATTCAATTTATTTTCGAGTTTCATCGCTGTTTGGAACTTTTCCACAATTTACTTCTGCTCAGAATCTATTTTCCAGCGAGTGATGATAGATGAAACGATTTTTTTATTCGTCCTAACGAATCAATTGCTCGATTACTCCTCTCCTAAAAATTTATTTCTACTGAATTATCGACAGTATCGAAGAAATTTGATCGTTTAGCATTTTTCCCTTGGGATGAGAAAGATCTGATAATCTAATGAGAACATTTCTCTCTGTGCCAGAATCACCGAGGCGTTATGTAGAAGGCGAAGTGACGATTCACTATCGTTCTCCAGTTCGCACGGAAGCTAAAGAGATCCTGAGTGAGGAAGAATTGGCTCGGAGAAGTGCCGAGAATATGCGCCGAGTTTACCAGGAAGAGAGACGTCGGAAATATCTTCAAGAATTACACGACATTGATTCCAGAAGACACACCGATAATTTCACGTAAATATATCTTTAACGATTATTAAATTCTACCCGCGAATTAATTGATAATTAATCATTTATTGACGGGACATTCACAACTGAAAGCCCTTGAAAAAATACAAAGCAAATATTAATTAAATTTCCCCGGCCCTCGAAGGGGATAAGGTGGAAAAAAGGAGCCAGAGGTCCATTGCATTGGCTGAGAATATGCGAGGATTAGGGGAAATATTAATTAATTTGTTTCGTTAATTAAGGATTCAGAACATATCGATTGGCCCGGTATCGGTAATTTTTTGATGAATATAAATGATGAATGGGAATGATAAAAAAAAATGGTGATGAGTTCTTTTATATCATTTGGCTGAATGAATCGACGGGGGAATGAATTAAATTTATTTGTTCTGGTTTGTTGACAGACCGTCACAAAAATCCCCGATACCATTGAACCGCTATGACGACTTCCTGGATGACTCGAGCTACCGTAGCAGGTCGCAGGAGCAAACACCGGAGCCACGAGTGGTTGCCCGTGCATTGTACAACTTTGTGGGACAAACCTCCAGGGAATTGACCTTCCGTCGAGGGGATATCATTCTAATACGCCGACAAATTGATAAAAATTGGTACGAGGGAGAGCACAACGCTATGATCGGACTTTTTCCACTTAACTACGTCGAGGTGAATTTTTATTCCACTCATTTCTCCCAGAGTCAGAAATTTCATAAAAAGGTCCACCATTTTATTTCACAAATATCTCCAGAATCTAGGACTCTAGGGAAATATTTAATGGAAACACTCGGTGTTTTGGAGATATTTGGAAAATAATTGGGATCCAGAGGACACGTGTTCAAGCTATCTGTTTCAACTACTTTAATACGTATTTTCGATCGTTTAAAGCAGATTTTACCTTACGATGGCACAAGGGGAACTCCCAAGAAGTCGTACGAAGGACAGGCACGTGCTAAGTTCAATTTCATCGCACAAACCAATCTAGAATTGTCGTTAACGAAAGGAGAATTAGTCGTTCTCACTAGGAGGGTCGATGAGAATTGGTTCGAGGGGCGAGTTGGGGGTAAAAAGGGCATTTTTCCGGTTACCTATGTGGAAGTTATTGTTGAGCCCGGGCAACACCGACCTGGTGAGTACCAATTAATAATTTGTATAAAACTTTCATTGTATTGCCTCGAGAAATGCATTTCGTGATTACTCGCATTAATATTTTGATTTTTTGATTTTTTACGAGTAGAACCGAATAGTAGAAAATGAATATTCATTTCAATTAGAGGAAAAATACTATTAATTTAATGTTTCATGGTATTGTGTTGTTCATTGTTTCAAATTTCAGTGTATTGTTTCTTCGAATAGTCTGTTTTATACGGAATTCTGTGATGGGGAATTCTACTCTTGGCGATGATGTTTCAGATATTCATAGTCATTTTGTTATTCCAGAAACGCCAGTATCAGGTAAACCAGTTGCATCGCCTGCGGCTCATAGTATGCTGTCGAATGGAACGGCGAGTGGAAAATTGAGCATGGGACCCCATCATTATATTCCCTCCATACCCGTCAAGACGAGCACGGCTGAGCCTCAGTATATCTCACTGGTGCGCTTCATTTATTCCATTTCTCTCCATCCACTTAATTTTCGTTACTCTCCGTAATACACCGAGTGAATTCCTTTTTAGCTGAAATTCTTTCCTTATTTGTTCTTGAATACCTGGGATTCGTAACCAGGGAAAAATCCTCAGTATTTCAGCTGAATTTTTTATACTCCAGTTGCACGACTTTCTTTTTTGTTCGCGGTACATGGAGGAGGATGAGCTCAAGTTTTTGATCTAATTAATCAATCTCGATTACTTTCTTCACTTTTATTTTTTTAATGCTGTTGAACTGCTCATTGATTCGTTAGTTGAGAGAATTTTTATCTTTTTCTTTATTCGAAAGTTGAGCTCGAGGCTTAGGTGATATTTAAAGGTCCGCATGTGTACTATCTATGAAACGTAATCTTTGGTTTGACTCTTATCTTGTTTGTTTAGATTATTTATGAATTTAGTATATGCTAATTTGAAATTTAGATCGTTTAGGTGGGGTTTTTCTGTAATAACGAGATTATTTGGGTTTGCAGCCACGCATTGGTGTCACTGAACGCAACAAATTGCACGTCGCACCCGTCAACGAAACGTTGCACATCGACACACACTCGGATACATTACCGTGAGTGTTCCTCTCTATTTCCCCCACAAAATTCCCGATCGCCAAATTATTGGATATTTCCAAAAAAAAATCGACGGGATTTTTTCTGTTTGAAGGCATCTCTAGGAATAATGGAAAATTAATTTGTTTGTAATGAATTAATTACTCAGATACCGAGCTCTGTACAACTACAGACCCCAGAACGAGGACGAGCTGGAGCTGAGGGAGGGGGACACAGTTTACGTAATGGAAAAGTGCGACGACGGTTGGTTCGTTGGATCCAGCCAAAGAACTGGATATTTCGGAACTTTTCCAGGAAACTACGTAGAGCGTTTGTGAGGTGAGGAGATGCCCCTAGGGGCATCATATATCGAAAGAGCTAGGAGGCAACGGGCGCTCAAAAGTGTCGCTATTATTTTACCAAAGGATGAGCCAAGAAACATTGAATATCGTTGTTAATACTGATAATTTCATCAATCGGTGTCTTGCTGTTTTATTTCAATTTCGCTTGTACCGTAATCCACGATTTTTCCATCACTTTAACTCGATTTTATCGCGAGGGAAATTCTATAATCGGGAATTTTGATTTTTGTTATTTGTGGGATTATTGAAATTTTCTCTCCACTCTTTCCCTAATTTTTTTTTAATCGAGTGCTAATCGATGTGGGGAAATTGTTGAGACGAAATTACTGTCACAAATGGTCTTCCAAAGTGTAGAAACGGATGTTAAGGGGCGAAGGACTTCTTTCTCGTTAGCTTCTGGAATTCGCTTGATATTTTACTATTAGCGTACACCAAAAATAACTTAGGCTTAATGAATTATTAATTGTAAGTAGTGTAACATAGGAGTTAACTATTTATTACGCGTTATCCATCCAGAAAGAGTTATGGGAAGAATTGTAGATCAATTTGTGGTGTTTCACTAGAGAAATTGACGATTTTTTAATGTGAAACTTCTTATCGGGGTTAGGTAACTGAAAAATCGTCACAAATGTGGCATTTGGGATGCAACGGAAGTCTCAAATGAATCGCGAGAAATTTCACTTCCGTAGTGCCCACTTGTGCTTTTGATTTTTTTAGCTCGTTCGATATCTGATTTATCGGGATGAATTTGTGTACATAAGATGTTTGCTGATGGATAATGTTGAATTTCTTAGGATTCAACAGAGAAAAATTCAGATGAATATACTCAATTTGCATTAACAATAATGCCATAAATTGAGTCTTCATTGCTTGAAATATGAAAAATGGAAACAGAATTTTTTCTCTGTGGAATTTGTCTGTTACCGAATACCAAAACTCCATCACGATTAAATTAAAATAATAATTTAACTGAATTAACCAAAATAATGGAATAAAACGTGTTCTTCGATTGTTGATGTCTCTGTAATTTATGACAAATGCCCACCGCTCGCGAGATCCGAAAAAAATGTTAAACAGAAAAAATAAATAGTACATCTCAATTGAAGTGGTAGAATGTCAGTTCGTCAATTGTCAAAGATGGAAAACCAAATTTTCCACCAAAAATTGTCATTTTCGTAATCGAATATCAATTGAGCCACTTTAATCCTCACCCACAATCCACTTCGATTATCCCATGAATTGTTACGATGTCTGCTAATTATAAATAAAAAAAGAAAAAAATTATAATTAATAAATCATCAGGCACTACAATATTACGATTGCTATGATTGCAAAGTTTTGCCTCACAAAATTCATATTTTTGTAAGCATTATTTATACATAAGCTTATAGATAACTAACATAAACTGAAAATCCTAATATAATTAATAAAACGAATGAGTTAATAACGATAAATAAAGCAGATTTATTGAAAAAAAAAAAATTATGAAGAAATATATGAATAAATAATATAAATATTAAGCTTTGAGATTTTATTGAAAGAGGAATTATAAGAGAATGGTACTAGCCTCATTAACACACATGAAAATGTGTTAGTTCAATAACTGACAATATTGATGATGATTGATTAATGATTAATCGTTAATTGACATCGAGATATGTAGATATTTATGGTGCGTGGGCTCAAGGTATCCTAGAGCCATGGAAATCACGAGGGGATGATTTTTTAAATTACCAATTCACAGAGAGACATTTTTTGATAAACAATTTATCATTGCGTCAATTGTTTCATTGCGTTAATTTGATGGATTTGATTTTTTGCGGACAATTCAATTATTGAAAATACATATTGCCTTAATGTTTTGAAATACGAAAAATGTGGCTCTGTGGAGCGAAATAAAATGTTGAATAGCAATGAATAGATATATTAAAATTGATATTATAAGATTCTCGAGCATATCCGAACGATATTCAATCCCTTCGAACCTCGACAAATCATTTTTTTAATGTCATTCAAATTGCCTTTGAGAGTTTGTTCAATCGAGTTATGAGGAAATGAATCATTGCCAAATTTCATTCGCGGATTTATATTGTCGTCGAGTGGTGGAAAGGTTGGAGAATAGGTAATGCTAACGTTGTCATTAAACATTGTACACTTCGGGTATATAAGAATAAAGAGCCTAGTCTGTAATGCTAAAAAATATTGACTGTTCCATTCATTCGTCGGTCGTATCGACGATTTCCGATTTATTTTCATGATAAATTCTTGTGCAATGATAAGAAAATGAGATAAATCGAATAAAAAAATGTTTAATTATCGATTTATCTCGACGAACACTACGGATTGCAGGTAAAAACGCTGAGAACTTGAAAAAAATGAGAGAATCCCGTTGGGGCCATTTTTTTTTGGATAAGATTCTGATAGAAAAAAGCTTTGTATTCACCATTAGACGAATGTACCCTCCAATTATTCCTTTGTCCTCGAGAATCGGTTACTCCCAACACTATTTACACCAACACACCATAATATACCACACGATATACACAAGATTCACTTTTTATTCCAAAGATGTGCCTCACGCCCCCAAACAAGAATTTCCTTTGTGAACGACTTGTTGCGTCATGTTCGGAGATTTCAGGCATTCCTCCAAGAATTTCTTTTCTTACGAACGTGTTGCGTCATGTTCACAGATTTAACTTAAAAAAAAACTAAGAACTCTCCATTAAAACGAAATAAAGAGATACCGGGATTGGCGCCATTTTCTTCGCCGGCAAGATTCGGAGAGAAAGGCTTGGTACTCATGATTAATCGATTGTACGCTCTAATTATTCATTTTTTCATCGATAATCGATACACTCCAGCACTATTTACATGAATACAGCACTCGATGTACACGAGATTCACTTTTTGTTATGTTTTCTGTTTGTTTTACGAGGATTTGATGTCTCACGCACCGGACAAGGACTTCCTTTGTTAACTTGTTGCGTCCTTTTAGCGCGCATGCGATTCGCGCAGTCGATAGATCGCGCCTCATCTATTGACGAAAATCAAATAAATTCTCGTATTTGGTACACAATTGTCAACGTCTTTTAAGGAGTAATAATTATCAAACAAAATTTACATCGATCACGGTTAACAAATACCAAAGTGATAATATAAATAAATAATCGTTATCAATTTTTTTGGACAATACGAAAATGTCGACACGAGAGGAAAAATGATATTTTCCGTATGAACTTGAGGTAGAACGAATGAAAAATTGAAGGGTTTTGTTTTTCGTTAAAAATTCTATTAAAGAAAGAAAATCTTTTGGTTTTTCCTTTTACAATTGATACAAATAAAGTTAATAGATGACCCAGGACTCCCTGCAGGGGATCCTGTTGCAGTCCTGGTGAGTCTCAGGCTGGAGATGATCTTTGCAGAGACTCGGGGATAGGAGGGACTTGGAAAGTCGAATTTGGTTGTCCTTGGTGAGGGTTTCGAAGGGAAAGGATGAGTGAACGCAGTAGAGTTGTCTCTGCTGGACACCTAGGGCTCCACAGCTGTGAGTACATCTCTCCCAGGGACCGATGATCCACTTGAACTCGCAGCTGGAGGAATTGGTATCGATATTATGGACAATTGTTGGATTTTAATTACTTAAGTTCCCTTAATTACCTGAATACATTGCACCTCTCAGCTTCACCCAGTGGTTTGGTAATGGACTGGCACCTCGTTTTATGAACAATTCTCCCGTTCTCATCATTCCTGCAGGCAGTGATCTTCTGACGTACACCACCACCACAACTGACCGAGCAAGGACTCCAGCCTCCAGGAACCCATGAATATTTATCGATCCTCCCCTTATCCTCACCGTCAGTCAAATATTTCAGGGTAACTGAAATGGATGACCCTCTCACCACAGTCTCGGGTACAACTATCTTGGACCAAACGAGAGGGAAAATTCATTAACTTCACCCCATGTAACTCATTATTTTCCCCTTAAAATAATTATAAATATTTTTTAATCACGAGTTAATAACGAAATTATCATTCACCGAAATGATGACTTCTGCCTGTGTCGACCCCTTTCCGGTGATTGTAAAATTATTTTGATACTTCTGAATTCGGAATAAAGTCCCTTCGACAATCAGAGAATCGAAAAGCACCTCGTGCTTTCGTCTGTTCCTATCTCGAATGACAATTTTGAAAGTTTCATTCACTTTCCCCGAAATATTCAATCCAACTTGCACATTTATATCGTGGGCATTTTTTGGAAGGACTGCAGCTCGAGTTGTAACTGTAAAATAAATGCCAAATATTTAATTAATTAAGATCTTCGATGTAGATCTGTGAATTGCAAACTTGGCCTGGAAAATCCCATGTTCTTTTTTATGAACGAGATAAACTGGTGTACTAAATATGTATCATAATACGAGTAAAAGTTGAGTCTCAAGTGTTGGAGATAGGAAGTTCAGTAATATCTTATTGCCTAGAGTCATCCAACCAGGTAGATTCAAAGTTTAAACGTCACGTGCAACGATCCATGCCCCATTTCTCAAACTTTACCACAAACTTGAAGGACTCTGCATGCTTCACACGATGTTAGAGGGGTTTAAATTTGATTATAACGGTGTACGTATAGATCATACCTCTTCGAATCTTGCGGTGAAACTTGTTACTGATTCTGATACAGGTGGAATTGTCACCCCTGCAAACTCCACAGGCATCGAATGCTCCCGGAGAATTGAGGATATTATCGCAGCTCATTTTACGACACTCTCCCTGTAACTTGGCTTTTGTTACTTTGGAAACATTCTAAACCCTTTCACATGCGTATCAAATATTCAATATACTCCTCAGAACATATACGAAAATTTCCCTCAATCGCGGTTACCACTAAATCACCAGTGAATTTACGAGATAATTCCATTAGATTTAATTAAAAAGTGATTAAAATTTTTGTACTGAATTTTTGGACTCGTCATTTTATTTTTCTTCACCTGAATGCAGATATCGGTGGAACCATAGGCACACGGAGTTCCATCGATAAAAAAATCATCGGACTGATAAATCCGATTGGTCTGATCACTCCGACAGGTCAACATACATTTTTCAGTGTCATCATCCTCGCTGGATAGTAGAGAAATCCTGCGGATAATGGCAATTAATAATTACTCCGTTCATCCGATCGAAGTTCATTCACTACAACTAAAATTTTCAATAATATCCAGAGTTGAATGGACGATAGTTAATCCCTTGATCAGTAATTGGATGAGAAATGTAATATTACATTCTGATCGACGATTTTCAATTATCGAAATCATAAAGCAACGATCTACAGTGGTAATTGAATTAATTATTAATTAGACTGTTGGATTTTGCCTGTCTGTAATCCTGCGTCTGGCTGGACTCCTCTCAAAGCTCAAAAGCCTCGAGCATTGTTCCTTTCTGATATCACTGCCGATTGGACAGTCTGATTGCTCGCAGATCTTGAATTCCTGTTTATCTCCGGTGCAGTCGTTGCCCCCAAACGCAAGTCTAAAATTCAATTGAAACACTCAGAGCGAAATAAATTAATAATACCGTACAATTAATTGACAATAATTAATGTTTATGTTGGCCAAGTGTTTAAAAAGCTATCGCTCATGAAAGTTAAATTCAGTGCTGACGTTGGATAGTTGCACAGGCGATAACGAAGTCTAACACCAACTCCACAGGTTCTGGAACATTTTCCCCAGGGAGTCCACGTGCTCCAGCCACCGTCTCTCGGTTTACTCTTCACTTGCTCCAGGGTAAACTCGGTACGATCGATCTCCTCGCAAAAGCCACTTATGCACCACTAAACCGATAAGTTTCTAGTCAATGGGGCTTTGAGATCATTTAATAATCATTGGATTAAGCTTTTTTACTTTATTTTTTCCGCAGGAGGTGCCCTCCAGGGGAGGCCCTTTCTTCGTTTTGCAGAATTTCTCACTCGACCTGTGGGCACACCACAGGTGAGAACAGAGATTTTGCAACTCGGGACTATTGCAGAGATGAAATCTGAAAGATAATTAACAATTTGTTGATCGAAACTCGAATTTGTTATTATTGATTATTTCAAAAAGTACTGAAGGTGAAAGTTATGGGGATTTCTATTTACTATTTAATTAATCCCGGGTAAAAAAAAATTATAGTCAGAATATTTTTTCAAAATTTTCAAAAAATTTTTCAAAAATTTGAATAGGAAAATTTTTTTATAGTTTTTCGAAAAGTTTTCGAAAAATGTTTTGAAAATTTGGAAAAAATATTCCGATAACAATTTTTTTTTACCTGGGTTAATATTCACAGTTAATAGTAATAATAAATAATTATTTACCCATTCCCAAATTCCATTCGACACTGTTCGTCCATCGTAAATGTCTCATGAGAAGTTGATTTCAGCTGAGTTAAATTTCCAATGCTCGGAGGATTATTCAAACATTTCCATTCTCTGAAAATATCATTTGGAGAATTAAACAATGAGTCATTACACGAGAGAATACGGAATAATTCACTTAGCCCTGTGAATGAACTCTCTCCTGGAACACGAGGACCAGTGGAACCGGTGGAAAGTCGCTGCAACCATGGGTGCCATGACACTGCCAACATGTGCCTCATTCCCGCAGAAATTATCCGCGGACTCATCTCCATCGTGGGTCAAGCCCAAACTAATGGATAAAATCAAAGAAACATTTTTTTTTAGATTAATATAACGGGGATTCCCCGTTTTATCTGGATTTGGTGGACGCACATGTGGGCGATTTCGTGGGCGATGATGAAGGCGCTGGTGAGACCCTCGTCGCGATTCAGGGCGCAGGATCTAGCTGGATCACAAGCACCTGAAACTGGGGCATAACCGGATGGACCACCGATATCCAATCGAGTAAGCCAGACAGCGACATCGTGACCCTCGGTCTTCAGGGATGATAACACCTTTCGATTCCACCTGTTGACGTTCTCCAAGGATGTCCTCGCATTCCCCCGATGTACCTAAGTAGTAAGTAGTGAAATTCATAATTTATTTATCTTTTATTATTGAATTATTGATCTATCGAGATAAAATTATTCACCACTCCATCTTTTTTGTCCTCGTAAAAGAAAATCTTGACGACCACCAATGACAGATTAGCCCCCAGTGACGGATCTCTGTAAATCGCCCCCACCTGTAATTGTAATTTAATAACAATAAAAAAATTTGTGACTGATTTATTTTCTGTTGTTTATCCCTGAAATGTTTTTGAATAATTGAAAATCTTACAGAATTGATGAGATTATGTTTTATAATTCCAGAATGAGAAGTTCGAATTAAACATTGAGGTATCTATTCTAGCGGATGAAGATTGTAAATAGACTGATCATCAACTATTGTTTGATCCCCGTATTACCCCGGATAATAGAATCTCCCTCGGATGGAATGGTTGCGATTACTCCGCAGTTTTGATTCACCCCAATTCCGTTTAACCGCGCAATTAAATCTACATACTCACGATGTTGAGTAGTGCAAGCACATACTGCTCCACCCTGTCCCCGTGAAACTCCACCACTGAATAATCAACAGCGATACCCAGCTCCAACCATCGCTGGGATAATTCTCGAATTGAAGCTCCATTACCTCGACCTTACAATTTAATCTTCCGTTATTACCAAACTAATCCCAAAAGAATATCAATTCCAAATCAATTCTTTATTAAAATTAAATATTAGTAATTAAAAAAAGTAGTTTCATTTATTTATAATTCACCAGACTTACTCGTGCCGTTGGTTCTTGTCCAGGTGCGAGCGGAAAAAAAATTCTCTCCCTCGCCGTCGCGTATGTCCTCAGCCTCTCCCTTATCATTTATCTCGAAAGTATCTCCCTTCAAATTCCAAAAATCTCCCGCCTCCCGCCTCCCCCTTCTACCCTCAATCTCACCGAGAAGATGACGTCCATTTATCCGCGGCTCCACAACAAAATTTCGATCGTCAACGCTAAAAACTACGTAAAAATCATCACCACAAATCGTCAGGATCGCGAATGATTTTTTTATCCCCTCAACGCTACCCCGATAATTCTCACAACTGACACCCGAAATTTTTGATGACACCGTCACCGTCGAGGTGACGTAATTGATCTCCGCGTGGTTTGGAATAATTAATGATGTGTCTAATTGATTTTTCAGGGTCCAGTTCCCCAGGGAAATGACTACCGATTTATCTGAGAGACTCCGACGACTCCTTGAGATGATCCTCGGATCTACTGGACCATGACTTGTCATCCGATGACTTTCCGAGAATTTAATTGCATCCACAGCTGTTACAATCATAATAATCACAAGTGTAATTACGAATTGTGACATTTCCCCCATTCTAGAAATTTCGAGATAATACTAGTTCACAGATAACTCCAGGTTATTTCTTAATTAATTACAAAATCAATAGACTGATGGTTTTTTTATCAGTCATTGTTATGACATTACATTTTTTTTTATTTATCGAACTGACCACTTGGTTGATGAATTAAGTAATTAGTCTAATTATTTTGTTGTGGAATGATGGAATTGAGTAGGAATTTTTTCGGTAGCCTCGGATAATTGAAACGTTTTATTAAACGCGATGCGAATTCCGTCGAAAAACAACGAAGAACTGGTTAATTGGTGCGTCGACGGTCTCATCGTAGCAGCAACTGGTCAGCACATGGCGAATGAGTGCAATTCGCACTGCAAATATGAGAGAGAAAAAAAATGGATAATTGGAGGGAAAGAGGAGAGGGATGGCGAAACGTGAATGGTCGGCTTTGTGCATTCCAGTAATTTAAACATCGCGGAATCTCTTGAGAATTTCTCTGTAAAAACCGAACGTTTAGTTACTCATCTTAGTACTTATATCAATTTTGAGAAGGATTAATTATGGAAAGTACTCGCGTTAAAAAAATTGTAATCGGAATATTTTTTCCAAATTTTCAAAAAATTTTGAGAAAAATTTTCGGAATTTTTTTTTATGAAACAAAAAAAATCGGGAAACAAAAGAATCCTATTTTTGGGAAAGGTTTTGAAAAATTTATCAAAAATTTGAATAGGACATTTTTTTTATAAGTTAGATGGCGTATTTTTTGAGAATATTGAAAAATCAAAAAAGTAACAAAATAACAGTATAATTTAAAAAAAAGTTATATTCTCAAAAATTTCTATAAAGTTATAAAAAAAATTTTCCGAAACAATTTTTTTTTTCAAAAATAAAATTGCTTTGTTTCCCTATTTTTTTTTTGTTTTAAAAGAAAAATTTGGAAAATTTGGAAAAAATATTCCGATTACAATTTCAATGAACTTTAATCAGCCGACGTTCGAAAAGTCCGGGAAATACCTCTAGTATGAAAATCCTATTGAGTCCCTGTTTTATTTATTTTCCCTCAAATAACTCTTCTTCTAAATTTATAAAGTCTTCATAACTGATTAATTTATTGATAATAAAAATAAATAACACCAGGATCAAAGAATCACAGCAGGCAAAAGAATGACGATTGATTTGAATTATTATGTGTAGTATGGAATTTTTAATTATTAATTGCGACATCCCGTACAATTTCAGTACAACTCACATGTGGATTTAATTAAAATATCGAGCGAAATAGCCATGATTATTTCAGCGTAATCAATGATTAAATATTGACCCAACATAAAACTGAGTCTCGCTAGAATCCCATCGCTTTGTCCATTATCAGTAAATAATGATGGAATTTTACGCCATCTTAAAAAGCCCAAGGACTTGCACAGTTGCCAAATAATTATTATGATTAATTAATATCTAATTTATATAATCCACATAAAAAATCTGACAGCATTAACTCTGAAAATTTTCCGGGAATTCCAAGATGATTTCCTGTCCTTCGACACCAGAGTAATAAAAATTCCACAATCTACTGGGATTTCCCAAAATAAAATTTCAATTCTACTTACAAAATTGAGGGACTGATTTTTCTGACTTTCGGTGGTTCAAAGAAATAAAATTATTAATTTCGAATCGTGGAGTTCCGTATGCTCTCGGCGAATCGTAAAAATTCAGGAATAAATTATTTCGCTATAATGACACGCACCAAATTATGCTAAATAGACCTGTGTGCTAATTTTTGTTATCTTATCTATTGATCTTGAGATGGGGTATACGGTGGGTATAAAAATACTGAATTATCAGCGATTGTTCCATTATTTCGAACTACCCGACGCGTGTCGCAATATATTGTCGCGATTTTAAAATTTTGTCAATTCGCCACAATGGCAGGCCCATCATCTCTCCTCTTTTTTCTCCTAGTCTCTGTTATTCCTCTGCCATTATATGCCCAGCTATATAACCGAGTAAATAATTATCACAGTAAAAAAAAAAATTTCTTCATGTTGAAACGAATTTTTTAATTCAAAAAAACTGCTTCCATATTTTTTTTTGCGTCAGATTGAATTTCGGACTGAAATTTTTTGCCTCAGACTTAAGAGTTAGGGTATATGTTAATCAATACGTTAAGAATTAATGAAACAGTTCTTTTGAATTAAGAAATATTTTTTCTAACGATAGAAAGCATTTTCTTCGCATTTAACTGTAGAATTTCATTTTTATTTCAGTTTTGGCAGTCGAAGTGCCCGTATATTACGATTACTGATTTGTGTAATCATATGGAGTTAGCAGAATACTGTGGAGCAAGTTGAATAATGTTTAATCCATTTGTTTTAACAAAATAATCTAGTTCAATCGAATTCGCCTTACCTATTCTCCACACTACCATAAAAATAATCTCAATACTAACACAGTGTCCCCATGGGGAGCAAGAATAATTCCTTCTTTAAAAAAATGGTAGAGTAATAAAAAACATTGAGTAATGAGAATTCACTTTTGTTATCAGATGGACGAGTATTGCATAGCGGAGAAGGAGACCCTCCGGGAAGTTCCAGAATCCAGTAATAAATTACTAGAGGAAATTCGATCAGCTGTTGATAAACCTGAGTACGGAGTACATGTTGTACATGGAAAAGTCATCGAGGAATTTTTCTCAACCCTCGAAACCGAGCGATGAAATTTCTCCTCCAGTTTCATCGGCATCAATCAACCCCACACCAAGACTCTAGACCAAATCATGGACTTTTGTTGGAACGACTGATGGAATTTCAGTCAGCTCCATCGACTCCTTCACTCCAATCATCAACAGTAAATTCTGCACCTCGGTATGCATACCTGCTTCAATAAAAAAATTAATTGTCTACCTCCAAAGGAATTTCACCATTAGAGTATGAAAAACTCAGAGTCCGGTCTTTACTACAATAAAATAAAATGTAATGGAACTTATTTAATGTATTTTTATATATATATCAACTTGAATGTTCAAGAAATGTAACAGAGGTTTAAAAAAAAAATATCTAAAATGTCATTAATTATAATACAAAATAGATTAATTAAGAAATATTTGTTTTAAACTTTTTTGCTCTCCGAAAATCATTCTGTTTAATTGATAATCCCATAATTACGGGGATGAGGAGCCAGGAGTATATGGAGTCATTTATTTCTCTGAGAAATCCTGAAGACTCAAAGGACTGGCAGTACCATCAGAGGATTATGGGTTTAGTACGTTGTTTAGATGTACTAATCTTATAGCGTTGTAATAACATTGTAATACCAGTGGATTTATTCAATATAAAGCGAATTACTAGTTCCTGTTATTTCTGCGTAATCAATGACTCAATATTGACCCAGCATAAAGCTGAAGCTCACTAATTCTAATTGCTTCATGCTTTATCAGTGATTAGTGATGACATTTTTTCATATCTTGATAAATCGGGGATTAACACAGTTGGAGAATAATTGATGTTGTTATGATGACTTGAAGTCAAGTTTGGAATGAAGAGGATTAGTTCTATGGGAATTTTTCGGATGTTTCAAGGTGATCGTTCATTCTGCCACACTAGAGCGATAAGAAGTCCATAATATTCTGGGTTTTCATGAAATCCGGAGGTTCAATTCTACTTACAAAATTGAGGGATTAATTATTCCGACTTCCGGTGGTTTAAAAAATGGAACGGAAGCTTCGGAAAAAAATCTAAGATGGATGGAGAGGAATGAATGATAATGCAGAAGAGATTAATTAAGAAATATTTATTTTATATGATTTCAATTTTCGAAAATCATTCGCTTCTACCAACAAGTGAATAATTTTCATAAAAATTAAAATCTCTTCTGAAATTTTTAACGATTTTTTCATGGTAATTAAGAATTATCAAAAACACATTAATTCGAATACTTCTAGCTTAATTTTCTCGTTTAATTTTAAAGATTTTTATTAAGATAGCATTTACCACTTCAACTCTCAATGCTCAGCATGTGAATTCAATTATTACAATTTATTGTAATAATTATGAAAAATTCTGTGGTTGGATCTCTCTCGATTTTTTGATGTAGGTGACAACGCCATATATTGGAGATTTTGTTTCCGGTGGATCTGTGGGTGGAAAAGGAGTTGGAACTATTCCATGCATGGTCCAGAAATCCTCACACGCTTCCAGTACCTTGAATAAATTTTTTATGCAATTTAATTATTATTGACACAGAAATAAATTTTCATTCAATTCATAACTTCAGGATTAAGAAGATAGGAAAATTATGAGGAACCGCTTTGATTGCTCAGAATTAGCTGCATCCACAGCGAATAATTAATTTATTCAATGAATTTATCTTCTTGTGGAGTCGCAGGGCAGTCTAATCAATCAAATGATGAAATTACATTGCATAGTGTGGCGATTTGTCTGTTAGTACACCAATTTCGTGACGGAATATCATCGCAGGTGTGTAGATTTCCCTGGAAGTGTGAATAAATCGTGAATATTAATTCGAATGAGAGTTAATTTTATGAGTTATGAGTAATAATTCGCTGGTTTTATTACCTGATACTCGGAAGACGTAGTCGTCTGCTGAATTGCACAAATTGTTAATAATAAAAACAAAATGTTTGACGTGTCCATTCTTCGGTGTAAATTTAATAGATGTGTCTACACAGGTGATACACCGGAGATCTTGTCGTTGTCTGTTATCGAAAAAGAATTGTCAGAGACGGGCATTCATTATTTATACTGGTTATCGAATTTCCAAGGTGGGAGTGGAGAGGGAAGGCGTGAATCTGATGAAAAATATTAAAGAATTTCTGTATACCCAAATCAATTTTATCAATTTTATATAAAAGACGACAAGAGTTCTAGGCCACCACTAGTGCTGGACACATGTTCAAGTGGAATCTTCTGTTATCAAAAAATAAACATTTTGTCGTTTACAATTATGGACGCAGTATGGTGTCTCAGGTGATCATGGTAACACGATTTGAACGCGTTTCTTATATACACTAAACAATTTCTCGTCTTTTGTTCTTTTTTTATCCTTTTAGCGCAGAGGAATAAAAAGAGAGAGGAAAATGTGTTTGCTTAGGTACTAACGCTAACTAATTACCCGGGTAAAAAAATGTAATCGGAATATTTTTTCCAAGTTTTTAAAAAATCTCGGGAAAACTTTTCAGAAAATGTTATTTTTGCGAAAGGTTTTGAAAAATTTTTCAAAAAATTTGAATAGGAAATTTTTTTCATAATTTAGATGGCGTAGTTTTTGAGAATATGGAAAAATCAAAAAAGCCAGAAATCAACAGTATAATTAAAAGAAAGAATTATATTCGCAAAAATTTTTCAGAAATTTTTAAAAAATTTGGAAAAAATATTTCGATTACAATTTTTTTTACCCATCATGCTTTTTATATTTCACGTTATTCTACAGAGTAGAAAATACGGAATGAAAGTAAGAAAATATATAAGCACTGTATGTGCCAAAAACACTAAAATTCAACGAGCAATTATATTCTTTATTGATAGATTATCGTTTTTATAGAACTCCACAGTCTTTCCGGTAGCAAAATGGTGAATGAGGGCTGACAAATCCCCGAGTATTCCACTCGCTTTTAAACGTTCGAAAAGTTTTTCGTCGTACGTGAATTTTCTCTCGATTCAAATGAACAATCACTCCAAGAAGTAATTGAGAAAAACAATCAGTGACTTCAGGTAAACAACATTCTCAAATTCATTAATTGTTATTGAATATGAAAATAATCTTTCTGTCCGATGACTCTGTCCAGACCCTTTCTCGCTGTAAAAAAATATCCGACTGCAGTGGTAGATTGTTTTGACGCGGAAATAATTATTGCTGAATTATGCGAAAAGATTTACCGGTATATAAATAAATATGCCGGTGAATTATTCAATATGAAGCGAATTATTAGTCCCTATTATTTCTGAGTCATCAACGACTCAATATTGACGCAGCGTAAAGCTGACGTTAACCAGGTTTTAATTACTTCATCCATTATCAGTACCTAATCACGACATTTGTTCATGACTTGAAAAGCTCAAAAATTCAAATAATTGGAAAATAATTGGAATTGAAGTCAAAGTCAAGAGGACTAACTCCGTGAGAATTTTCCGGAAATTTCAAGATTGTCTTCTTCGTTTTTATGAGACTCCACGGGTCTCTCTGGTTGCAAAGTGGTGGATGTTTTCGTATAAATATGTATTCCCTGTAGTGAATATTGGCAAAGCGCTGACTATTTCACTCCCGTTTGAACATGACTCAAATGCTATTGTCTACAAAATTTGAATATGATTACGTCACTCGTTTTATGGCTGGGTTTGCCATTTTCTGCGCACCTACCGTGTTACTGGTAAATATTTGATTTTATTATTTCTTTAGGGTAAATTTGTCGCTCAAGAATGTTTTTTTAATAGGCCACGCTATTCTATTCTCATTCAATTCAGTCGACGTTATTTATTTTATTTTAGAAAATTTTTTTTTTTAATTTTCTAGACATTTTTACGAGTATAATTTTTTCTTTTTATTATACTGTTGTTTTCTTACTTTTTTGATTTTTCAATATTCTCAAAAAATACGCCATCGGAATTATAAAAAAAAATTTAAAACATAAAATTGTTATGTTCCCCGATTTTTTTTGTTTCAAAAAAAAAAATTCGGAAAAATTTTCCAAAAATTTTTTGAAAATTTGGAAAAAATATTCCGATAACAATTTTAACTGTATAATTTCTTCGATCTTATGTTTGGACAAAATGTTTTTATTAGTGAATTATATGTTTCGTGAGTCACTGAAATTTGCCAAAAATAGATACCACGGGACCTTGAAATTTCATAAGTCAATAAAATGAATAACATGTTCCAGAAAGTGTTTCGTATTTTATCTATCAGTTTTTATCGAATGCTTTTGTACACAGCAGATATAAGAATACGGAATGATCAACCAGCGTTTCATTATTGTAACGAGTACACAGTGTGACACTCTGGTTTGCAAGATGATGTCTCTATTTCTAATCCTGATTGCCGTCGTTTCTACGATTCCTTCATCATCATCTGGACATAGAGAATCGGACTATTCAGTGTTTATTCCAAAGGTTATTTCAACGTCCGATCGTTCTTAACTGAAAAATATTTAAAAAATAATTCTACTTTTGAGACTTTTTGTTTAAATTTTATTTCCATTTCAGGACCGATTTTCGGAATGCCACAGAATCGCCCTAAGCGAATTGTGTGAGAATATGGAATTGGCTGACTTCTGTAATGTAAAGTCCAATTGTTTATTAACCATTAAAAAAACTCATTAATTTTCCATAAAAATAACTCCAAAAAATATCAACAAAACTGATTTATTTTTTAGAATAACTATTAATTCAATTAAAAATGTTGCATGCACAATTATCAATGGTCGAATTCATATTTTCGGCGATTTGCAATTGAAATGGAATTTACAATACAAATCAATTTTTAAGGTCCTGGATTTTTGTAATTTTGAGGATGAGCAACCAAAATCTACGGAAAAAATCGAGGAAGTAACAGAGCCGGCGCCATGTCCTGAAAAAATAGTGTACGTGTTTATTCCATTAGATCCAGAGTCCGATTCAACATCGAAACCTCTGACATCTGAAGAATACATCATTCGGCGGAACATGTGGTCTAAAAATTCTGAACCGAAACCCATGTCACCTGAAAGCCTCAAATACTTTAAAAAAGCAGTATTAGCGCATGAAACGGAGGATAATATACCTTATAATGTTCTATGTAATATCACAGACTGTTATGTACATTAACAAAACGCATGCCCACGGAAAATTATGTAGAGAAAGGCCATATGTGGCAAAGAAATAAAATTCGACAAGCAATTATGTTTTCACTTTTTTTTTTCAATTTTTTTCTCTCGGTCCCAGGTGCTGTGCAATTTTATGGTGCGCTAAAATTTGTGTTATTGTATTTATACTGTGAGAAAATTCGCAATGAGTGATTGGCAAATTGGTATTTATGTTGAAATTTACAGGAAAATTATAAGGAATGAGGAAAATAATTTGAAATAATATTATTTATGTATTCTTTATGGGTAGATTATTGTTTTTATGGTGCTCTACAGGTCTTTTCGGTAGCACAATGGCGAATATTTTCGTATGAATACGTATTCCCTCTAGTGAATATTGACAAACCCCCGAGTATTTCACTCGTGGTTGAAAGTAGCTCAAATGATATTGCCTCCAAGATTTAAGACATGATTTTCCCGCGTATTTTGTGACGAAAATCCAGGAGCATATGGCGACATGAAATTTATTCCCCCGAGAAATCTTGAAAACACAAAGAAGTGGAAGTACTATTACTCCGAATTGAAATAATAAAAAGTTATTTGAAAGTATATTATATCATATAATTATTATTACTCGACGCCGTATCTTTTCTTCGATTTTATATTGAATAGAAATGTCGTTGTTTAAGATTTATGAGTTTCGTTATTGACAGAAACCCACCAAGAGCAGATGCCACGGAACCTTGGAATGTTTTAAGACATTAAAAAGAACAACACGCTTTACAAACTGTTTGGTATTTTATCTATCGGTTTTTATCGAATCATTTAGATGTACATAGCAGGTATGGGCATACGGAATGCTCTATGAGCATTTCATTATTATAACGAGTTCACATCGTAACACTCTGTTCGGCAAGATGATTTTTCTATTTTTACCTCTCTTTGCTGTATTTTCTAGTATTTCGTTGTCATCATCTGAAGAATATCTCGATTCAAAGCATGATCTACAGGTTATTACAAAATTTAATCATTGTTAACCAAAGAATATTTTAAAAGCAATTCCACTTTTGAGTGTTTATATTTTATTTTCGACAATATTTCAGCTCTTTTGGAGATGCACTGATATTCCCCTAGAGACTATCTGCAGCTATATAGAATTAGCTGACTTCTGTGAGGTAACGTTCAATTTTATATTATTCACTCAAGAAAATTGTCCGATTTTTCATAAAAATGTAGTGACAAAAATGGCGGAATGCTCTGCCTGTTTGGTTTAGTTTAAACTTAAATTTCAAAATAAAAATGAATAATTCGAAAAATCGTATATTCTGATAAATATAAAAAATATAAACAAAACTGATTCATTCTTCAGAAGAAATATTAATTCAAATCAATTCAATTAAAAAATTATTTTTCCTACGATTTGCGTTTGAAAATATTACAATTTTTTTTTACCCAGGGAGTTAACTTGAATAATAAAATGTGATTAACAATAAAAATTATTTTTTAAGGCCTTAGAATATTGTTATTTTCCGGACGAACCAGTAGACCATGCGGACGACGTCTATGATTCAAATGGTAATAACGGGGATATTAAAATCCTCATGGAATCATCTGGGGACTTGTCCAAAATGGCAATAAGTGGTGACGAGAGAGGGACTCCAGGAGTCCATAATCCACCATCGAAGGACCACAGAAACCATGATATAGTATTTGGTAAAATAATTTCGAGCGTGCGTCAAGAAAATTTCAATCGCCACCCAATTCCGGATAATGATTTTGTGTATGGCAAAATGGTCTTTCACGCAAAGGAGTAACTCTCAAATTCTCGATACAAAAACGACGCATGGAAGGACAATACAAGAAAAATTACTGTGCCACCACTAGAATCGAAACGAAAAATTTATGTGAATTATGAATTCAATAAATCATGAGAAATAATATTTTTCAACTTTCCTGTTTTATTCCTCCATCAGTAATTCTCATAAATAATCCATCAATCGAAGAAAATAAAATGTGTTTTCACTTTTTTTTCACTTTTTTTTTCACTTTTTTTCTCTCGGTCTCAGGTGCTGTGCAATTTTATGGCGCGCCAAAATTTGTGTTATTGTATTTATATTGGGAGAAAATTCGCAATGAGTGATTGGCAAATTAGTATTTATGTTGAAATTTACAGGAAAATGATAAGGAATGAGGCAAATAATTTGAAATAATATTATTTATGTATTCTTCATGGGTAGATTATCGTTTTTATGGTACTCCACAGGTCTTTTCGGTAGCAGAATGGCGAATATTTTCGTATGAATACGTATTCCCTCTAGTGAATATTGACAAACCCCCGAGTATTTCACTCGTGGTTGAAAGTGGCTCAAATGATATTGCCTCCAAGATTTAAAACATGATTTTCCCGCGTATTTTGTGACGAAAATCCAGAAGCATATGGCGACATGAAATTTATTCCTCCGAGAAATCTTGAAAACACAAAGAAGTGGAAGTACTATTACTCCGAATTGAAATGATAAAAAGTTATTTGAAAGTATATTATATCATATAATTATTATTACTCGACGCTGTATCTTTTCTTCGATTTCATATTGAATAGAAATGTTGTTGTTTAAGATTTATGGGTTTCGTTAATGACGGAAAACCCACCAAAAGCAAATGCGACGGAACCTTGGAAAGTGTTAAGACATTAAAAAGAACAACACGCTTTACAAACTGTTTGGTATTTTATCTATCTGTTTTTATCGGATCATCAAGATGTACATAGCAGGTATAAAAATACGGAATGCTCTATGAGAGTTCCAGTATTTTAACGAATACACAGCGTGACGCACTGTTCGACAAGATGATTTTTCTATTTCTATCGATTATTTCTATATTTTCTAGTATTTCGTTGTCATCATGTGAAGAATATCCAGATTTAGGGCATAATCTACAGGTTATTTCAATATTGAATCTTTGTTAACCGAAAAATATTTGAAAAGCAATTCCACTTTTGAGTGTTTGTGTTTAATTTTCGATCCTATTTCAGGGGAACCCTTGGAAATGCAGTAGTACTTCCATGATAATGCTCTGCAGCCGTCCAGATTTAGCTAGCTTTTGTAAGGTAATGTTCAATTTTCTATTATCCACTCAAGAAAATTGTCAAAATTTTCATAAAAATAGTAGTGACAAAAATGGCTGAACGCTTCGAGTATTTGGTAAACTTAAATTCCAAAATAAATATATAAATATAAATATATATAATAATATAAATATAAATATAATAATATATATATAAAATAATAAATAGTTCGAAAAAACGTACATTCTGATAAATCCAAAAAATATAAACAAAACTGATTAATTCTTCAGAAGAAATATTAATTCAATTCAAGACGTCGCATGCACTATTTTTGATCACTCAGTTGATTTTTCCCGCAATTTATTTTTGAATTCGTTCGAGAGTAATTAGTTAATTTGAATAATAAAGTGTAATTAAGAATAAAATTTTATTTTTGAGGTCTCGGATTATTGTACTTTTGGGAAGCAACAAGAACACATTGCGGGCATCGTTCATGATTCAAATGGTGATAATGAGGATACTAAAGTCCTCTTGGACTCATCTGGGGACTTTTCCAAAGTGGCAATAAGTGGGGACGTGAAAAAGCCTCCAGGATTCCTAAGTACCAATGTGTTTGGGACCGTAACATATGACCCACCACTGAAGGACAAAAAAAATAATAGAGTTTTTGGTAGAGTAGCTTGGTACCCGTCTGCAAATTCGGATAATGAATTTCCATATGGCAAGATGGTCTATGACCCAAATGAGTAACTCTCAGATTCTCGATGTAAAAAGGACGCATGGAAATACAATACAAGAAAAATTATTGTACCACCACTAGAATTGAAACGAAAAATTTATGTGAATTATGAATTCAATAAATCATGAGAAATAACATTTTTCAACTTTCCCGTTTTATTCCTCCATCAGTAATTCTCGTAAATAATCCATCAATCGAAGAAAAAATAATAATTTGAGATAATTCATAACGATAAATCATTAACTATTGTCCCGCCTAACGATGTCTCTGGTAATTAAATAATTGATGTGTAAAAAACTTCTAATTTTTCCAAAAAACTCGATAAAATGTCCAGTCGAGACGAAAAAACTTGTATTTTCAGAAATTTCTGGATTAAGAAATAATTATCGAACTTCAATGTTTTTTTATAATAAACTTTCTTCAATTTATCCGCATTAGGTTGTAAATATGAGAATGATTTGGCCTATTCTCGATGTTACGCTGGATACAATGTAACAGTAAGAAGAGCTTGAAATATCAGAGCAAAAACAAAACCGATCTCTTGGGTGCTCATCTCGGCGGCTGTTCCTTTTCCCGTATTGCAAAGTGATTTTTCACAACAAGCTGTACACGCGTAAAGTTTAGTCCTTTCCCCGATGACGATACACCCAGGTTCACATTTATTTGTACAATTTCTCTCAATAGCCCACATCATCGGCTCCGACGTCGAGTTCTCAGTGCTCGTGGTGAAGGAGAACCTCTTGACCTAGAGAACCAATCAGGTGAGAGAATTAATCCCTAAAATATGAATTTTTAGAACGGTGACTTAATTACGGGTAAATTGAATTTGAAAAATCACTTACTCAGAACTTCAGACGAAAATTATAATAAATTTAAAGAAAAACTCACAATGCAAATTCTTTTATCATCCTTGCACTTTTTCATGAGGGATGTGTGATTGCTGATTAAGTCCACACATTTTTCACCATCTTCCATCGTATCACACTGATAACACCAGAGATCATTGATTCGTTCGGATGCCGCATGTGTCCGATGCTCTTTTGCTAGTAATTGACCTGTAATTATATCGTAATTACAAAAACAATCGTAAAAATTCGGAACGAGGAATTTTTATAGGACTATGAAGACGAGTAATTGATGAAGTGATAATGGGAATTGATAAAATTTATATAAAAGCGGAAGGAGTTACTCTTACCTTGGGCTGCATGGAGGACGATCCCCAGGATCATCTCCAAGGCGTAAGCTCTGGCTCTAGCCTTCATTCTTCTTTCTCTTCGCTCTCCAATTGGAATTAATCAGACGATCCATGTGCGCATTTCCGTTTACACAGATTATTTACGAGAATTCCGTAATTATTTTTTGGAATCGAGTGTTTCGTGGAATTCGTATGCACTGGTGACGTTCACTGCCGCCATGATCATCTTCTCTGACGCATGCGTCTGGGTGGATACGTCATTGCCACCCCAAAATCGATATCATATGGGATTTTAGGGCACCAGGGGTTGTTTTCTTACCCCATGGAAGGTCAGACTGTTCAATAAAATCATGTCGTCACTCCATGTGAAGCGACAAATTCATGAAAAATTATGAGCGCTGGGAAATTGATAGTAATAATTATGCACATTCCAGCGGAAAATGGAGATGCAATGACATAGAATTAAAGGGAGTTCTCTATTTTATCAGGACTCGGGGAAATTGAAATTTTACGGAGATTACGGAAAACCGAAATTTTTTCGCTGTGAGACGCAAATAGTTGGTAACCCAGGTAAAAAAAAAATTGTAATCGGAATATTTTTTCCAAATTTTCAAAAGATTTCTGGAAAACTTTTCGGAAAATTTTTGTTTTGAACCAAAAAAAAATCGGGAAACAATTGTATTTCTGGGAAATGTTTTGAGAAATTGTTCAATAATTTATTTCGGGAATTTTTGTTGATAATTTTCTAGAAATTTTTGCGAATATAATTTTTTCTTTCAATTATTCTATTGTTTTCTTACTTTTTTGATTTTTCAATATTCTCAAAAAAAAACGCCATCTAAATTATAAAAAAAATTTCCTATTTAGATTTTTGAAAAATTTTTCAAAATCTTTCCTAAAAATAAAATTTTGTTTTCCGATTTTTTTTTTGTTTCATAAAAAAACATTTCTGAAAAGTTTTCCAGAAGTTTTTGGAAAATTTGGAAAAAATATTTCGATTATAATTTTTTTTACCCAGAAAATTCTCCCCTACAAATTACTGACGTCCAAAAAAAATTTACGTCAACGGAAACGTCGATTCATCGAATTTCCCGTCAAATTTTTCCCATAAATGGAAATGCGTGAATTAATGTCTGCCAATGCCTGCAATAAAAAAATTGGCAAGGATCCGCAAATAATGACATGTGACAATTTTATTGTGTCATAATAACTTATAAATTTGAACTAAACCAGTGAAGACGGTAGTTCAGGTCCCAGCTGACTGTAAAACACATGTGCGGAAAGTAGAACTTGTAACTGAGACGTACATCCAGCAATTGCACCGCCACCCACCAGAAACTGGTTCCAAAAAAAAAAGAGGGAATTTTTTGAGACTCACAAGAAAATGATATAATCCCCCATCTTTTAAAAAAAAAAGTTCTTTCTCCACTCGTGTCATAAAATACTTTTTATCTCCAGGAAAAATCCCTTATCTCTCGCACATAAGGTCGTTGCACTAATCCGCGAACTCGATCGATATTCGCACCTCGAGGTATAGTACATCGAATATAACAGTGAGTGCTGGTGTACATCACAATATCGAGAATATCATGTGAGAATCCATTTCCCCATGGTCCCGATGTCTCCTGTGGGAGCTATAGAGAAGGTACCCAGGTATAAAAGTAATATCCACTCCATTCGTCCATGATTCAGACGGAAATTTGAAAATCGTGATAAAATTTCGTGATTTTCACCGTTGAATAAAAAATTCAAGGACAACCCCCGAATGGCATAAATAAATCGGTGAATTATTCATTTTTTTTTACTCTGTCTCCTCTCCATTTCCTCTGTCCTCACGATTTTGCCTGCGCCAGGGGCAACGGCTCACAGGAAATAATTCCCCTGGGGCACCTGATATCGATCCTCTTACATCGACTATTACCCCCCTGTGGATTTCCACTTGTTCGTTCACTCCAGACTGTAAACGTCCATTTTTTTTACAGTAGAACCTGAAGAAGAGGTTTTTTTTTTAATTCCAAAAAATGGCAGTGATTGAAAAAATCGGATTTCACATCAATTTCACCATTTTAACTCGGAAAATTTGTCTCAAATTGTTTATCGATTTTTTCATTGATGTTCGGTATTCTTGGAATTTTCCAGAACGAAAAGGCAGAGGGAAAATGGCGGGAGGTGAACGTGACTGCAACCTATTTAACGCGCATCAGTGGATTAATTCCTTCGACTTGACTCATCCCACATTGTTATCCCGCAGGGATTTATCATCCACAAACCGAGCAAACAATATGTTTATTGAGTATGAAAACAATTTATAAATTTCATGTAGTTAATTTAATGGTATTATTATAATTATGGGGATATTTGAAAAGTTATATATAAGTTATATTACAGATGGCATTTTTGAAAAATAATTTCTAAAGGGTACGACCCTGTGGTCAAGGGGGTTCGGTGAATGGGGGTGTCGAAGCCGGGGATGTACCGTCTGGTTCCATTACCCCTCGAACCAGTACCGTCCCGACTACCGACGTCGATAGAGCGTCCCGACGCTCCGTATTTTATTCGAAATCGTGAGGTAATTAACGGATCGTTTTTGTTTATCTCGTTTTGTTTATGGTTTTCATGGAAATTCTCACGCCATTTTTTGTTATTAATTCGGAAAATCACCTGTTCTCTTTTAATGTCCGGGATTGTTACGGCCAGGATAAAGTATAAACAATTGATTTTTTTTTTATTATTCATAAGTGAATGATGTTGTTGATTATTGTTAATTATTTGGATATTGGGAATTGGGATTATTGAATGTTGATTGCTCCGGAAAAATAATGTTGCCACTTTTTAGGGTATTTTTTAAATAATAATTGATTGTCGGGTGAAAAAATTGTAATCGGAATATTTTTTCCAAATTTTCAAAAAAATTTTGGAAAACTTTTCGGGAATTTTTTTTATGAAACAAAAAAAATTGGACGATAAAACAATTTTATTTTTGGGAAAGGTTTTGAAAAATTTTTGAAAAATTTGAATAGGAAAATTTTTTTTATAATTAAAAATCAAAAAAGTAAGAAAAGATCACTATAATTAAAAGAAACAATTATATTATTATATAAAAATTATATTTCCTATTCAAATAAAGAAAAAAATTTTCAAAACATTTCCCAAAAATACAATTGCTTTGTTTCACGATTTTTTTTTGTTTCAAAAAAAAAATTCTCTGCAAAGTTTTCCAGAAATTTTTGAAAAATTTTGAAAAAATACTCCGAGGACAATTTTTTTTTACCCGGGTGGTCAATTACAATATTTGAGTTTTGCAAGTTTCTGATGGAGCCGTAAAATTTTTTATTCCCACTGCTCGATAAAAACCATGTCTCATCTTCTCTCGGTGAATTTTTCGCAATTTTTCCGTTGAACTTTTCCCCGCCGTAAAATTGGAAATTCCCTTTGAAAACAAGTGTACACCTTTGATAAAAAAAACACCATCGCTTTTCCTATTCAAACGAAATGTCAACCATTTTGCCAACTCTTTTTCCGTACGTGCGGGCTGTCATTCCGTATCAGTAGTAACAGTCAACATTGTTCAGACGTCGGAGGAATATTCATCCGGCGATATGCGACTTTCAAATTATAATTGCCCCGAGGGAAGATGAAAAAAAAGGGTTTTCAAGCATTTATACACAATTATATAATTAATTAATGAGAGGAAACGAGGAAAAATCACGTGGAAACTCGCGCCCCCCGACGAAATTTTTGTTTAGACTCAATTTTCAGTTTTTCATCCGGAAAAAATTGTGTGGGACAAATAAATCATTTATTTAATTACAAAAATACCTTTATTATAATATTTGTGCATTTTTGGACGATCAACGCGGTGGGGAAAATACATTTTCCGAATTACACTCCGGAAAATTTCGGTTGATTTTTACGCGTAGTTCCGTAATTTTTGTATTGATCTCGCCCGCACATACAGAGAGAGAAAGACAATGACGTTTCGACTCAGAATTTTCCGATGAGAGAAAATCACTATTCGGAATACTCCCGGAAAATTTCCACAAAAAACGCGCAGAAAAATCGAATTGTGCAAAATGCGTAGATTTAAATCCACGGCGTTAATCAACATTTCTGAAATATATTTTCCGATGGCACCTTGCTGATGTGATGAAAATTGCACCTGAGGTGTGAAAAAGGAATAGAAAACTCAACAGGTGGTACCCACCCACAATTTCCCCTAATTCAACGCTCAAATTGAATTCACGCCGTCAAAACCGTCCGGAAAAATGAGACAAATCACCCGGAAAATTTTACCTTTTCAAAAATCTTCAGCTGAGACTAACATTTTTTTTTATTAAAAAAAATTGCGATTCTCGTGAATTGTTGACAACTTGGCGATTTAAATTATCGTAAGAATATTAATATCATTATTTAAAAAAAAAGACGAGAGGAGACAATTATAAAATAAAATCCCTGCCATTTTTACTCGAAGAAAAATCCAGCATTTATACAAATTGTTTATATTGATATATTGTCTGTAGATTTTGTATACTCTTCGAAGGGGTGCATTAAAATTCAATTTCGAGTGGTCGATGGTTTATTCAAATGGAAACACTCGTGTTTTCCATCATTGTAAATTGCTCATGGCGACTGTTGCATTTTCGCGCGCTCGAATTCACACAATCGAGTTTCCAACTGTCTCAACTTGATTAAATCCTCGGCCATTGGATTCGGTGAGTTCATCTTCTCCGAAATTAACTCATTTGGTAAATCCCGACCTGATGAATTTAGTTTCAATCAGAACACCGAGCCAATCCCGACGCTGAGACTAGAATTATCTCCAATCAAATCTATTACATTACATTTTATTTATCTCAACCTACAACACCAATAAATACCAATAAATCTCGAAAACAACCGATTTTCAGACAAAATGTTATACGACCTTTTTCACCAATAAATCACTCAGCTACAAAAAAGTCCTCTAACGTTTTCACCAGAAATCGATAGTAATCGAGATAAATCGATACAAACAAGAACGTAAAATTCGACGACTGCCCTAGTTCACCCCTGAACTCCCAGAAATTTATTTCCCTCCCTGGAAAATCATTTCCTTCGTTTCAATAGTTTAAAATAATTCACCAAATGTTCTCAATATTCCCAGTGCCATTTCCCAACGATTACCAATTCATCGAGGATTGCAGCCATCACAGAAGGAAATGTGATCAAAAAATCCATCGATAAAAAAAGTTGTCCGAAAAGAGTTTAAAGTGAAAAAACTCCGTGAACTCGAATAATAGTGAAAAAAAAAGGCGAGTTCTGGGGATTGAGTGCTAAACGAGACATCGGAGCAGAGGTGAGTACATTACATCGATTTACAGTGAAAATTCCCGGGTAAAAATACGACGAGAGAATTTTCTCGTAATCGTAAAAAAAGATAAAAACATTTCTTGTCTCGTTCTCGGATGATTAATCGTCCTGAGATGAGTCATTCCCTGGATTAAAACCGAGAAAAATCATGGATTGAATTAACTTGACGACCAGAATAATTGAATCCTCTCTGCAATTCTCTTTTTATTTTTGCATTACTCTTTCGTTTATTCTGCGCTCCTCAGAGCTACACGTCCGGAATTTCTCCTCTATACAACACCGCCATTTTTTATAATCACCTATATGCTTTCAGAAATGTTTACTTTATGCCTCAGCTCCCCCTCTTGTACATAATTCATTGTTTTATATACACTTTAATTTAACTCCCAGCTGCAATACAACATTTCTCTCCGTGTAATATATTGTAATTTCCGTGTTATCTCAAAAACTACGGATTTGACGAGAAAATAGTATAAAATATTTATGTAGCTAATTAAATTATCTAAAAAAAAAGTCTTTTCACTTTTTTTTAAATAATCAACAGTTTATGAGATATGACTTGAAAAATGCAATCACTTTAGTTTATGACTTCGTAATAAATTCCGCCACTCGATTTTTCACGAATTTTTCTCATCGCGTATTCTCGGAGGACTTTTCCCCTATCCTCGACAGTCTCTCGAGATCATAATGATAATATGAAATTACTGATGCACGAATGAATTCATGGACGAGAGTGAAATCGAGTGCATCCAAGGGTACATCAGACAATTCTGGCCTTGACCAGTGCTCTTTCGGTTCTACCTCATCCCTTTTATTGGCTTTTATATATTTTTCATCGAGTGCATGTGACACGGGTGAAAATTACCCCGAAAATCGCCACGGAGATGAAAAATTCTCGACAATATTTCACATCAAATATTAATATACATTTATTCCACTAAAAATAAATGAAAATGACAAATTGATTGAAGTACTTTAATCAATTAAACATTTTTTAATGCCAATCGGAACTGACGAGTGATTGTCGATATTTTCTGATTGTTCATGTTTTTTGTAAATTTTTTTTAATTCCCGTTTTATCATTGCCCGATTACATGCATTGTCACGTAATTTTTTGGAAACATTTAACGTTCGTCGGTTTACGCTAACGAGAGACTCAATGGTATGATGGAATTTTAACGAATTGGGGTGGTTTACCCTCTCCCCTCCTCCCACCATCCCCCGTGCTGTTTTAAAGAGGGGTGGAAAATAGCGGATGAATTTTTAAGAGATGGAAAATTTTCATCCCCTCGGTCTTCAATTCATGTGGATTCACGCAAAAATATTTAATTCCAGAAATTGTTACGAAAAGAGAATGGATAAAAAATAGAATTAATTTAGCGAAATGAATTCTTTTATTTGTTATGAATAAACACAACGTCAACCAGGCGAAAATGGGACGAGGAAAGCTGTTTTTTTTTTAATCCTGTGAATGGGGATGAACAGAAAAATGGTTTCACGGTTTCTATGACGACGATGAGGGTAAATACGGATATTGGGGCAACAATCGTTTTTCAGCGATTGGAGAAACCACTCATGTTTAAAAAAATAATCCTTCAAGCCGAACTCCACTAGTTTTTGTTAGTTAATTATGTTAATAATAATCATCGTCTTCTCTGGAAATGAATAGAGTGAAAGGTCAATTGCATTCAAGATTAATTCCCTCTGAAAATCATAAAGCACAAGCACTTGATAATTGTTTTCCATTGATATTTATTACTCCGGAGTGAAAATGGGAGTTAAAAATATTTTTATTTGTATTGATAACAAAATTAATTATTTAGTGAACAAAAAAATGCACAAGTGATTCCAGAAAATTAATTGAGGTGAATTATTTCTGGAAATTCGCCGGAAAATTCTGTGATATTTCCAGTTTTTTGCGGTCAAGACGTTCTTTGGGGGTGGGCCATCACTGGGATGTGGTGGATCCCTGAGGGATTACGTTTACGCGAGGAGACCATCCCCAAGACGGATGATCATATTTCAACTTTAACGAGGACCGCTAAAATCCAATACTGATGCCTCGAACCCTCGCAAATGCTATCAAAAACAAAATAGTAATCGGAATATTTTTTCCAAATTTTCCAAAAATTTCTGGAAAACTTTTCAGAAAATTTATTTTTGAAACAAAAAAAAAATCGACAAACAAAATAATTGTATTTCTGGGAAATTTTTTTTTATAAATTTTTCAAAAATTTGTTTCGGATAATTTTTGAAATAATTTTCTAGAAATTCTTGCGAATATAATTTTTTCTTTTAATTATACTATTGTTTCACTTTTTTAATTTTTCAATATTTTTAAAAAATACGTCATCTAAATTATAAAAAAATGATCATATTCAAATTTTTGAAAAATTTTTCAAAACCTTGCATGTAAATAAAATAGTCAATAACATACAATATTTATATAACAATATAAAACAATATATATAATAATATTTACACCGTATATATCGATTTCAATGCTTCAATAATTCATCACCCGAAAGGTCCTTATAATTCTGAAAAATGCGAAATCAACAAAATGGCAATTCTTAATAAAAAATATTTCTGAAACCAGAACAATAAGATTAATTACAACATTTGCGCTCACCCGAGGGTTGGATTAATGAAAGGCCTTGTCTCTCGAAATTGTGGAGTCCCGGGGATAATTAAATTAAATTAGATATCCCAGGACCTTCAATAGAATAGATCAGTAGTATGAGGCTCGTGTAGTCAGACGCGTCCAGAACGGAATCCCATGAAATCACATCAAAACCGATCGAGGCGAAATGCATTTTCACTTTTAACCGATTATTCATTAGTATTACTAATATTTTTTTTTCTGCCACTCGGGAAGACCAGAAAACTTCAAACGCAACAGCAAGTGTTTAACTCGCAACGCGTCATTCTCACGATGAAAATAAAAGAACGGAAGAAAACTGCTTCCGAACAAAAGAGAGAATTTATCGATCGTCATCGCGGAGTGTTTTCCACGTTGTTAACAATTCCCCAGAAAACTCTCTCAACGTGCAACTATTTTTCATTAAAAGTTGTCCCGTTGTTTTTTTTTTAACGAACAAAGGAGCTTTTTTCTTTTACTTGAGCTCTTCATCGTGCAATTAATTACGTGAATGCTGCGTCGTGCTGAAGGCTCTGTGTTGTTGAAGTATTTCAAGACAATACGTTTTAACGATTTCCAACAATTTATTTATATACAATATATATATGTATACATACATACATAATTTATTCGATGGTATTTTCATCAATTGATAATTTATCGTCGAGAAAAATCGTAATTATCGACGATATCGTGGAATTACTCTAATTTATGGAAAACGATGTGCAACGAAAAACGCAACGGATGATGCGCAGTCGGAACTGCGCAGGGGGGCGTGATTTTTGTGGATATACTTTCGATTTATCGATCATGTCGTCGCTTGTCGAGTAATCAAACCAGTCGAGCAGATCGAACCGGAGATTTCTGGGGAAATTGGCTTTGCCGAGAACTGAAGATGGTTACCTCCTCTATCGCACAAGGAATCCTCAAAGCTCCCGTTACCCAGCAATTCCCCGTCGGTTCATGCTTCATATCACTGCTTCATATCACTCGTAGGCTATATTCCTATCAGAACAGACATATTTTTATTTCAACAACCGTAGAAACCGTTCAGCATTTCCCAACAGTCTTTTCCGTCATTCGCCACGTGAATTCATCCAAAAGTTAAATATATTAAATATAATTGAAAGCCTCATTTAATAAATTAAATAAAAAAATAAATTGAATAATAAAAAAATAGATATAATAATTGATTTTTAAGCGATAAATTTTCTACAATAACGAATAATAAAATGCCAATCATTTCCCTCTCGACGTTGACAAGTGATAATTGTCAAAAATTCCACGGATGAAATTGAATTCCTGAATTCCTGTGCATCAAATTAATTGCGGGGGTCTCGTTCTACCCAGAATTCCCGGTATTTTTCAATGAAGGAGAGAAGTTGCCCTTGGTTGCCACATAACTCACCCCGTCACGAGAAATAGAATTCACGGTAGTGAGAGGGATGGAAAATAGGAACGGAAAAGCGTTTTGAAATAATCTCTCTGACAGTAATCGCCGTAACGAACAGACGGCAATGGTTGGATGACGTCGAGGAAATTGATGTTGGAGGGGTCGGAAAAATGTCTTGAGTGTACCCAGATGATGCCACACCTTTGAAAAACATATTTCTCCCCAGAGGGAATTTAAGTCAGACTTATAGAATCAGCCACTCCTCTTTCCTCCCCTTCCCGCCCCATTCCCGCCCCCACCCCAATCAATTGCTCTAATCACATAAAAAAAAAACTCGAATTCAATTTATTAATCGGGAATGAAATCAATAAAACAATTATATAATTATGCAATTATTGAATAACAATAATTATTTTAATAATCTCAATAATTATTATTGTTGATTTTGTATTAATGATTAATTATACTTTATTATTAGTAATTATTTAAAAATCATTGGAATTATCATTGACATTTGGACATTTTAATTAATCCTCTTTTTTCATAAAAAAGTCATTAATTATAAATAATTGTGGATAATGACATCATTGAAGTCGATTTGATTGCGTAATTTTTCTCGTGTCATTTTTTATATCTAAAAATAAATAAGGAAGTTGGGGGAAAATATGGATCGATACAACCCACTCTGATTTTGCAACGAGGTATTTATTTTTATGTGTCGACTGAATTTTTTTGTAAGTACATCATGAGGATAACGACGTCATTGAATGGTACATCACGTCGGAACTGTAACGAGTTGGTTACATCGATCGTTTTAAATTGCGTCTCGCACAACTCCAACCAGTTGCATATAAATTCAGTACAACTTTGTGCCAGCAAATGGATATTCCCCTCGCTCCACATAAATTTAACCACCCCCACGGATTTTCATAAAAAATGGCACTTTAGAGGCACGATTGGAAAAATAACCGGAAATTGTGTCCGATAAGGAAATTTACTGTCAATTTACAACTCAATTTTTATCCATTTTTTTGGATTTTTGGGTGATTTTTCTTTTATTTCTAAAATTTTCAATTAGCAATTACATTTATTACGTGTATTTTCCGTAATCCTGCAGCGTAATTTGGTTGTCGGAAATTTTACGGAAGTGTCACGTCATTTTTCTCTCAAGTCGCGGAATTTTTCCGCGGTATTCCGTAATTATTGTCTGAATTATCGGTGAAAACTTACGATAACGTAACTTAAATTTTCCGAATCGACTGCGTAATCGGTAAGTAAACTGAAAATTCCGTAATTTTTCCAAAATAATTCTCCATGTAGATGACAACCGCAAGACAAAATGACAAATCCGTTACCGATTGTTACCGATCCATGTACGAATCACATTGGGAGATGGATCTATGGAGAAGTAACAAATAACCGAATTAATTAATAACAAATTTCAAAAACAAAAAATTAATAACGAATTAGCGTTCTCAAGGGAATACCAAATATTCGTACACGGATTACATCCCCAAGTGTGGAGAATAGGCCCCCAGAGGAAGATGGCGCTGAGGTTGAATAATCGAACTCTAAAGATATACACGCCTCTCCTCGACGATCGACTCCATCAACTCAACCATCCCAGCACCCCATCCCCAGATCTTTTTTCATCATCATTATTTCTGTACCATTGTGCAACGTTTCAATATCCCCCCCAGGGAATTCAACCACTCGATTCATCCCTTAAAAATCGTAAAAAAGATGCAGACTGAATAGCAGCCCCTCATATCACACGTCCAATCGGATTTGTTTCTTATTTCATGACCGTTCAATTATCGGTTTTTTTTATCCCATCGAAATATTGTTATTGATTAAATTTAATAATCATGTACTCCAATCCCACGTGCTTCGATTACTTCGATTCAGTTGAAGACACTTGAGGCGATTTTAATTTTAATTAATTTTCAGTCGTCCGTTAATTATCATGTACCCGAGAAAATGCCGCAATCACCTTTTGATGCTATTTTTTTGATTGGATCACAGCTCGATGAGGGCTTGGGGGACCTTTGAGGGCTTGTAACAACATAAATAAATGAGCGGTAGATATGGTATTGCCCGAGGCAGCACGACGTGCCTCGTATTACCTCAATTGGGAGGGGGAGAATTAATTTTCCTCGGGTTTAGAACAGAGATATTTCACAATTAGCTGAACATATTCAATTGGATCCTTTCTACTCGTTTTTCAGGATAATTGGATTATACCCTGGGCATTTTTCCTTGTCATTATTCCGAGACGCTGTAAAGTTCTATTTTATGTCAGTGGCAGAATACACCGTCCTTTATACGTTCTCGTCTTGTTGATTTTTTTTTCCACCGAGTAATTAGTGTTTATCCCAGAGAAATGAGGGACGAGATTTCAGGGAGGGGGAGGGAGAATTTATCCGGAATTTATTTTATTTTGATGAATTCTCGAGGTCGACGGTGTAATTCTGTTTTAGGCGATGACTTCATCGGTAAAATTAGTGCGTGATCTTGTGGGGAAGTAATTGTTTGGAAATCTTGTGCAACGAAAAATGCAACGGAGGCTGCGCAGATGAGTGCGCAAGGGGCAGGGGTGAAGGGGTAGCCCACAGGGTGCGCGTGCGCTACGACTGGAGTCTTGAGTGAGTTTTTGATTCGAATATCTCGAGAACTATCGGCAAGTCATAGAAACATAGCAAGTGAAAAATGTTGGGAATTTTATAAGGAATCGAATGATTTTTCACTGACATCTCCACGAGCCGCCGTTCCCAGGATTTCTTCGCTTTTCGATAATTGCGATTGACACGAGTAAATCATTTAGTTCGTAATGAAAAAAATCGGGGATTCGTCATCAGTTCTGTGGGACTTCTTCATGATTATGAAAATATTTCGAGACAGGGGAGCGCGTCCTGGTGGATAAATGCCGACCCATGCCGTCGATGCTCATAAGGTAATCAATTTACGGGGATGATTGCTGGAAATTCCGTCGGAATTAGTGCTCAATGCACTGGATTAATATTGTAATGGCGTGATTCACAAACTTCACGGGGCCAATCAGTATTGAAACCCTCGAGCTACCACTGATTGAGTATTGTCCAGCTGGATGAATTAATTACAAAAATTGATTGACAATCAAGGGGAGGAGCGCTCTAGGGATGCGCAGGATACAATCACATAATCAGACCGGTGAATCCAATGGGAGATTACTATTAATATTTCAATGAAACACTCAATGCCACGTTACAATTACGAGCTCATCATCAATTCCGAGTGATGAACAATCACAAATGCGGGAATTTGGGGATTTGTCGATATCTCCTGCCACCGTAATTCCCTATTTTTTGCAAAATAATTGCAAAATTATTTCTTCAATGATGAATTTTGTTGAACATCTCTCGACGTCCTTGGAAAACCAATAACAAAGAGAATTTCCTGGAGGGGGAATTACGGGCTTCATCCTCAACTCAAACTTCAAACGTAAAATTCAATTGCTGCGTAATACTCCAGATATTTCAATTGACCTTGGAGTCAGTGACGTTTAAATATCCCGGGGGCTGGATTTCGTCGACGGGTCACGCAATTTATTGCGTAATTGTACGTATTGATGAGCCTCGGAGGATATTGCCGACGAATTACCGACGAATTTTTGAAAAATTTTCTAAAACCTAAAATAAAATAAAATAAAATTGTTTTGTGTTCCGATTTTTTTTGTTTCATAAAAAAAAAATTCTGAAAAGTTTTCCAGAATTTTTTTGAAAATTTGGAAAAAATATTCCGATTACAATTTTTTTACCCGGGATCATTCATTGAAATTTATTATCTGAATTTTTTTCCTGGATTAAGAAAGGGGAGAGAAAATTCGCGAAATTTTTTCGGTTGTTCACGAATTATTCGCGATTGTTTATTATTAATTAGTAATTTTAATGTGGGAATTCAGGGAAAATAATCGGGACATCTCAGATATGAGGGAAAAATTCTTCACAGATTTTCTCAATTACACGGAATTACGTGGATTTAATGATGTATGAACCCGTTGAATGTCGTAATAGTTGGGAGTGAATTTGCACAACGGAGTGCCTCTAGTCCAATTTTCGATGGTTCAGCAGATACTCCAAAACTCCCGGGATATTTGCAAAAGGCAAGAGCTGCGAAAATCGGTGTATCCGTAATTTCCCTCGACATTCGCTATTTTCATTCGCTCCAACCGGAACCGGACTCAATGGATTTTCATTTCCTCCCCTGAATTGTGAAAAAAATACAATACCCCTTGCACATTTATTTTTCTCATTTCCGTATCGCAAAAGAGAATCAATCAATAGCTGCTAATAACGTAAAACTGATAACAGGCGGAATCGAATAAAAATAAAAATTCAAACACCGAGACTAGAAATAGATTTTTCCTCGATGACTGAACGAGTAATCAATGTACCTATAGAATTTTTAATTACCGGTATGTTCGAGGGACTATTTGAAATAATCACTCCAATCATTACTATTATTTTAATTATTATTCACAGAATTACCATAGTACGGTCATACACAATGGGGGTATGTAATTATTATAATATATATTTTTGGGTGGTAGGTCACTTTTCCCTGGACATAATTTCCCGGACAAGTTCCTTTTAAAAAATTTTCCTCGGACCAAATTCCCCTGGACAAAATTTTCCGACAAACCTTCCAGGAAAAGAAATCAATTTTTATGATCCTGAGGATATGATTGGGTATTTCACCATTATTTATTAATCTATTTCAATTATTATGGAGAATAATCATTTGTGTTTGTTTTTGTGTGATTTGGCGATTTTTTTTCTTTTCCTCATAATTTTCTCTTTCTTGTTCCCTAATTTTAGTTCCAAAACGATATTTTGTTTTTTGATGGAAATTTTGTCTGGGGAAATTTCTTTAGGGGTAATTTTGTCCGGGGACATTTTTTGGGGGAAATTCTGTCCGAGGAAAAATTGCCCTAGAATCATATTTTTGCCCTGCGGTACCGCCATTTTGGTATTCAATAATTTAGGGGCGAGAGGTATGAAATTCTTAGTGAAACCTAAAGCGCAATATCGATTAGGTCCTCCTGTGGTTTCCACATGCAATTAACAATTAATATAAATAACGATGGAGCTCGGGTTTCGCGGTTGCACGTAAATGGCCGCGTCGAGGAGAGAACCGTATATACTATTTACTATGTAAATATATATATGTGCCATCGGTAAAATGGCTGTCCGGATCTTCAATCTCCGAGGTGCTTATCAGGTTTAACAAACATTTAAATACTTAAATATAATATATAATTAATTTATTTAGCATCAACGAAAATCGTATGGCGTATACAAAATATTTTCCGTAAATTTATATTATTTCAAGGGATTGCCGAGGTTTTTATATTCGATGATGTGTTTTCGGTGATTACTCGATGGATAAATCAATCCCTGGAAAATAATTTTCCCCGTATTGGAAAATGGCGTATGGTATTTTCCTCTCTGGATAATTAATTCCTCGCGCAAATATGTGTGGATTATCCTCATACTGGAGGTATATAAGGGATGAGGATCCATTGATTCAGCATCAATTATCAATTATTAGATCACCGAGTGATTCTGGTGGGAACGGAAAATCATGAAGTATTTTTTTGGATTTTTTTTGGCGGCCTCGATAGCTGCTGGCGGTTTTGCAGCATCAGCTAGTGAAAATGAGACCCCTGGTAAGACCGTTAAAATAAATTAACAATTAATTGTCAATAATTAACCATTAATTAATTATTATTGATAATTTTTTTCAGACTTCGAGGTACGTGGAACGATGGACTGGTATGGAACTAGTAAGTACGACAAATAAACATGATTTTAATTTTCAATTTCAACAATTTTATAAATAATTATTGTTAATAATTACACCGCGATAAATCTAAACTCCTTTCAGCTGTCGAAATCAAAGGAACGATCCCCCCGAGTACTGAGGCTACACCTGGTAAGTAAAATGAATAATTAAATAAAAACATTAAGTGAATTACTTTTGTTTAAATAATTATGTACATAGTCATGACAGAATAAATAAGTCATAAATCAATATCTCGAGAGTAAGAGACTCTAATTGTTGGAGTAGGGCAAATAAAATGAAGAATGGAGAGAAATTAATTGGGGAATGGAGATATTAATGAAAATGGAAATTATTAATTAATTATTAATTGATTGCAGTTCAGTTGGCAGATGTGGACAGTGGGCTGAAGACAAATCCAGAGGAGATATTAATCAGGAGTCGTCGACTTACTTGTGATTTTTTTTCATTCAGTTCTGCACATGTCACACCAAATCATGCTGCATGTGCTGCAAAATGCATGGGAATGGGACGAAAAGGTGGCAGCTGTCAAGGCATGAACTGCGTATGTCGGGATGACAAGTGGGTTGGCAGATGAATAAGTTAAAATTAATTTGCAATTACCCGTTGTATCGGCACATCAGTATTAATAATTAATCGAAATTAATGAATTATAACTAATAGCACAATAAAGAAACTCATTCCTTAATTAATAAAATTATTCAATCCTAAAAATAGAATAGTTTATTTATCATGAAAAAAATGTCTGGCATGAATTGAATGAATTTTTGAAAATTCCAGAAAATTCGGAAAATGGTCAAAATTATTGTTTTTTCAAAATTTCGGGTAAGGAGTGGGGGAAGGCGGGAAATTTTAAAAATTCAAAAGAGATTCTCTTTTTTTTTTCTCCGTATCGTATATTTGGGCCTGAAGTCCACAACACGGACCCAAGATTATGAATAATTAATGACGCGAGTGACGTAATTACCGCTTGATCCGCTGATCTTATTTTTCCTCCTCCAATTAGCAACTCTAATCCTGGCGATGACGTAATTAGCATCTCGATGTCTTGAGACAGTTTCGAGGAAAAATCGCGTCTTTTCTCACAGGTATATAAGACGACGAAATCGATTGAAGCGATCAGTCAATTGAAATCACGAGAAGGCAATCGTCGGGTGAAAAAAGATTTTATTTCAATCGATATTCCGTCACGATGAGGTCTCCTGCGACTTTTCTCCTGGTCATCACCATTATTTCTTGTATAATTCTTGTTTCTACAGCTACATACATCATCGGTAATTAAACAAACAATTATTATTCATCAATAACATCTTCTGTTTTCCCTATTTTTTATTATTAATAAAAACTACAAAAAAAGGTTAGACACTTTCTTTTATAACAGATGTAACAATTGTGATTATTTATTGGACGTTTTATCGTATTTATTTTTATTTCCCATTGATAATTTTCAGATAGATTGGAGGTGGACGAACCAAAAAATATCTTGATGAATTGTGATATAATTGCATGTCAAGTGGAGTGCGTGGAAAAAGGGCACATCGGTGGTACATGTCAAGATGACAATTGCATCTGCATCTAAAATAAAATCGATAAAAAATTGATCACTAATGATAATGATAATGATAACGACCTTGGATTGTTGTCCTTTACCAATTTCCCTTCCCCATTTCAATACCGTGGAAATACTCCGCGATATATCGAATGTTGAGGGTGTGGTGCCATCATGTTACAATGCAATTATCGAATAATTAATTGACAAAGCAAATTCCGTCAATTAGCGTGATTCGATGCTCTGATATTTTAATCGGCGTTTTCTGGAATTCGATGGAAACGTGAGGTACAACATAATATTTATAAATATGAAACTACTTGTTGAAATTATATCTGAACATTTGAACAATTGATTTAAACAATTCATTGTTCAAGAATTTAAATCACTGAAATTTAATAAAAATTAATGAAATTAGTTAATTTATTAATTGTTGTCTTATCTTCTCTTGTTAATTCATCATTTGTTTATTGTTATTTTTCTGAGGGGAGATAAATCATTTGTAATAACCCGTCGGTGCAATTATCATACCTGAATTATTCCCACGGTTGTACCGAGGTATTATTGACTCTGTGCTCACGTCCTGCCTCGCCGTAAATCGCACATCAATTAATTAATGCATTGATAACACTATTACATCGATGTGACAATAATTTAACGATTATTGATAATGATTATGCATTAAGCACCATCAATGCCCGCGAAAATGCGTTAAATTAAATTTAAAAATCTGAAATTCGGGAATAACTCTGGAAATAATTCAATTTAAATTGTTTATAAAAATTATTCAAATTCAATTTATCATTCTGCATATTGAATGATAAATATATTTCATAAATATATTTCATAAATATAGGAATGGGTAATTCACATGGAAATATTAACCGAAACAAGTGGAATTTTCTCGGGATTATGGAAATTTGAGAAATTTTCTGTGGATTTTCACTCTAGGCGAAATTCTCATGGATTTTCTCGGGAAATGGGAAAGTTAGGATGGCCATCAAGTTGGAATGACACGAGATGTTCTCAAGTTAGCTGATACAGGATACCCTAACAAAATTATCAGGAATATTGCGGTGGAGCCGTCGGGGCAGCGAAATTGTCCGGACGATATGGTATCAATCATAGGAGGAATCGCACGTGTCCCTTCTTGATGAAACTGCGAGACCAATTAATGATGATGAGAATTGATCAGAATTACTCCTCGAATAATCCACGTGCCTCTCGCTATTCCCAATTATCTGAAAATTCTTGAATTATCAATTATTCGTCGATTTGACGAGTCGATCCCCCAATAATCGGGAATTATCTCTGAATGTAAGACAGTTATCGAAATTTTTATGTAGACATTTTTTGCAGAGCGGAATGAGAGCTGCAAAAAATGTTCAACAATAATTTTTGTATCTCTCTTAGATTCAGAGATATTCCTCTGAGAAAATTCAACTCAGTCACGCTTTTTATTCCCAAATTAAAAGAAATTCAGGAATTCCTTGGATTGCATTAAAAAAATTGATAATTAGTCCTTCAGATTGGGGAGAATTCCTCCGGCTTTGACATCTAGAAGAATTCCCCGGGAATTCCCATAAACATCGACTCAGTCCGCGATTTTTCCCGGAATTAATGTACGCACAACGGGACCAGAAAAATCGCGGAAAAATCGCGGAAAAATCGTGCAAAAATCGCGTAAAAATTTAATAACAAATACAAGGACCCGACGTGCTCTCCATATCAATTCCCGTGGTTTCGTTATCTCCGCAACCACTTCCAACTCACAAAGAGTACCTCAAGTACCGGGAAAGAAGAATAATGACGCCCAAAAAAAAAAAAAATCTGCAGACAGAGAAAAATTCAAGTCCCAGTATCAAAGAACATACCCAAGAAGAAATATCTCACAATAAAAATAACAATACAACACAATAAATAAACAAATACAATAAACTCCGCCAAAAAAAAAAACAAAAAACTGCACGATAAATTTTCTCCGGAAAATTCTCTGGAAAAATTACCAATTTTTCTGAAAACGATATGAAAAGAGTTATCATTTCACTTCTGAATCCACTGCAATTGCAGTGATAAGACGGGGAGGGGGGAAGGTAATGAGACCTCGATGGGAATTGAATGAAGTAATAATCTGGGTGGAGG